GCAGAGATGGAAGGAAAGGAGCCAGGGGAGTCAGGGGGATTGGGGATAGCACTTACCATCCAACAGAACCTCCATCCAACCATCTCCTCTACCTCTGGAGAGCAAAGACTCATGTGTATGACGGAAAGGATAGAGAGGGGGGATTTAGAGGGGGATGGTATGCATGTTGATGCATGCATGTATGTATTCATACTCCTCTGTGAGAGGTATGTATTCTATGTGGGCGTTTACAGGGGATGATGTATGGGAGATGGAGGAGTGGAGTAAGAAGAGGCAATGGAGTAAAGCAGAGAAGACTCGACTCTATAAAATTCTGAATGCCACTAAATCTTTCCGTTATCCGCAGATAAGGCAGTGACAGATGTTTTGGCGCCGGGATTGAATTCAAACCGTTTAAGTTTGGAATGATACTGAGAGGTGAAGAATGGAGAGAGATGGGTAGAGACGGACAGCACAGATATACACAAGGACTGTAAACATCCTTCACCCCCCTCCTTCCTCTTCCTCCTCCTCCTCGTGTTCTCAGCTGGAGGGTGCTGCAAAGTTCGAGGAGCTCTGACAGGGTCAGGGGTGAGACGGCGCCGCCCCCAGGCTGCTTCTGATGAGGAATGTCTGGTGTTCTTTTTTTTTTTTTTCTAGATTTCTGCACTTCTATATCTGAGAGTTTTAAGTTAGAAATAAGTGTATACAGTAAGTTTGTTGGCTACAAAACTTGCAAATGTGGCAGACTGCTGGTGGTGTGCATATTAGCCAGTGTGTGGGTGTATTTTACTGCTGGTGCTGCTGTCAGGTAAAATAAACCAGTATCCACAAATTGTGAACTTTTCCAAACTTTAAATTAAAGCGTGTATTAAAGTGGACTCTCCAGAGTCAGAAAAATAAAAATAATATTCAATATAATTTGAATTCAACAACTTAACAAAAGTTGAAGCCATCAGGAGCAGGATCCAGACCATCATTTGATGCTACATCTGCAGTGAAGCCTGGGCTAATGTAATTCTTTCAAGGTGGGTTGGCAGCTCCTCAAGGCAGGGTGAGGCGAGGTAAGGTGGGGTGAGGCGGGGTACATGGCAGGACTAACAACCCCCCACTGTTGAGTAAAAATCCCTGGAAACATTTGTATTATTGAATTGATGCTGATGCAACAGCCTGCACAGAGGTTGAAAACAGACGCAGACAGAAAATTAATGTGGAGACAATGTTCAGGCCTGTGCCGTGCATGAAACCCACATATTTTCTCTTGTACTCTTTGGTAAAGTTCTTATCTTTTTTTTTTTTTTTCAATGTGAATTTTAGTTTCAAGTAAAATGTTGAACTGATGTTGAACTCGGCAAAAATCAGACTAGGGAAAAGCCTCCAGAGAGATACACAAGCTCCTGAAGGACACATAGAGAGCTCTCTGCTCCGATAAGAAACCTAATCAATAAAATAATGATTAAATAAATAAGTGAAAGGCTGTAAATCTGACGGCATACCACAAAGATGTATTGCTGTTTTATGCTTTCTGATTGTACAGTGTCTGCTCTGTTCTTTACCCTGGTGATCTTTACCTTTGCTCGGCCTACCTTGAATTTGTATGCTCTTCTCACCTCAGATTTTGGCATTCAATAAACATGCGGTGGCCACTGGTAGGCATTAATCCACAAGGAGCTTAAAACATGCTAAAATAGTCTAATGTTTTTAGTCTCATAGGATTAATATATGTGGGAACTAGGCATAAAAAGAAAAAACGTGCTGAAAAGTTTGTGACTTGGTGTAATGAAACGTGCAAATAAGACTCTAGTGTCTCTTTAAAAGTCAAAAAACCCCTGCATCATCAGATCAGTTCAGATCAGATCAGAGGTGGAAAACACAGACTGCTCGACATGTGATTCGTATTAAAAGGCGAGCTGAGATATCGGTCTGTAACCCCAGTTTGACACTCTGCGTGTGTGTGTGTTTGAGAGCCATGTGATCTCACTGTTTCCCTGCGTGAGAGGAGAGACAGCAGAGGCATACTGAGTCAGTGTTCAGCCACGCGGCCTTCTGCAAGAGACACACACACACACACACACAAGCATACCAGCCTTTTGCAACACACACTGAGTTAAAGGAGACTATTGTCCTGCAGTGGAATACAGACAGAGAGGCCAGAGGCAATCTGAGCAAGAATCTGCAGCAGAAAGAAGGATTTGATACACATAAACACATGCACACACACAAACACACTCGTCACACAACAATCCCCCTCCTTTGCTGCAAGTTTTATCTCCAAGCAGCGAGTCGTCTCCTCCTACAAATCCGTTATTCACCCTCCACTTTTTGCCATGTGATTAATGAGTGCCGCTGACGATGCTGGCCAGAGGTCAAAGGTCAACTCAGCCAGGGTCTTGAGGTCGCTGCAGCTTGTGAGGCGCCACTGTGCTGTCCACTGTACGCAGTCTCCTAGAGAAAAAAAAACCCTCTGAACCTCATGAATATTACATGAAGGCCTGGCCATGACAGGATGGAGGGGAAAACAAAAGGGCAAGATTTCATCTAAGAGAGAGTGAGAGGAAGGGAAAAAGAAGGATGGAGGAGGGATAAAGAGGGTCCTGTGAGGACCAACAAAGACAGGCTTTATAGCAGCGAGGGTCAAATGGGCGTTTTATTCATGGTTTCCCCCTACACACTGAGAGAAGCTCCCTCAGGACCCTTTAAAGCCGAGGTGGTGTGCATGTGTGTCCGTACAGTCTCCTCTGGCTTGAGCACGCACTTTCTTCGTCCCCGAATATCCAAACTCTCCTGCACACAAAAGGTCTTGAACATATCTGTTGTATCTCTGTCACTTTTATAGCCTTAAGCTACTTATTATCCCAGAAGTCTGCTGGAGCTGCTGTATGCTTTTCTATCTCATACTTGGAGTATTGTTCTCCTCGGCTAGCAGCAGATGTTTGGTCTGCCGCGGCCTGCCAGCGATAGGGACATTCCTCAGCGGCTCTTGTTGGCAAAAAGCTGACTGCATGTTCTTGAGCAGAGCCAACACTGAGTCCATATTTGACAGGACACGTAGCATTGCAGGAAATTGCAGAAGTCCCTTTTTTTCTGGCGTGTGCAGCAGAAGACTGAAGAGCTTCAGAGTGGGCGGACAGCAGAAGTGTGGAGAGTTGGTCTGCTGACTAAGGGCCAAGAGTAAATGGGAGACACATGACGACTGCTGCACTGGGGAATAGACAGAAAACAAACTTCATATGTAAAGCTGATCATATCTATAGTTTTATGGTGACGGATAAACTGACCTCTGAATATTTTATAATTAAACATGTACTGTCTTTTTCTACGTTTTCATTTTTGAGTATTATCACTTAGTGCCAAATATCCTCAGTAGATCCATTTCCCTAACTGAGCTTAAAATGAAAAGATAAGGGACCAACTTGTATTGTGTTTCCAACCAAAACCAAAGCACTTAAAACAAAAGTTACCTTTCTGTCTTGTCTTGAAATCAGGATCAGTCTCCCCCGCTGACTCCTCCAGCAAGTATTGAGGACATGATCTGATGATTCATCTGCCACGTCCTCAAGCAACTCGTTTAAAATGATACCTCAGTTGAGTGCAGCTGTTTCCCCCGTCCTTGCTTTGTTAGTATCAACTCTGTCACTGTGTCGACTTAGGATGTATAGTGTTGTGGTCATGCAAATCTGTTTGATTTTGGTTTCTTTTTGAGAAGAATCGTACCTAACTCAAGGTGACTAACTGTTACCCTGGACATAAAAACTTTCAACCAATCAGGACAATGGGTTGGGACTAAGTGTCTAGGTCCACTGCTTGTTAGCTCTGAGGATGAATCAACATTGATCTTTATGACCAAGCAATGCTACAGAATATAACAGAGTAACTTTGTTTATTGTAGAAATTCTATCAGCTTGAATGAGACATCTAGAGTACCATTAGGAAAATAGGAATTTCAGCTGTTTCACTCTTTTTAAAGTATTTTTATATGTGAGATGTTTATTAAACATTTTAGCTACTTTTATCTGTCTTGGTCTTTTAGGGTTAATTGGCCAATCAGCAAGCTATTTTCATCCAATTGTTCAATTTGGAAAAAAAAAAAATCTTACTTTCTCCTTGACACCACTCACAGCTCTCTAATGTATACACTGGTGCAAAGGCGCTAATCTCTGCTCTGCAAATATGTAAAGACTAAAAGTAAACTCTGGGACACCTACGATGTTTTAGCCAAAGAGAGAAAAACGAAATCACAGATAAGGTAAACACATGTACGCACCATCACCGTCTCCACATCATGGCATGGACAAACAGGCACTTTATTTGCTTTATGATGATTGCCATTTCCCCTGGCATCCCTCTACCTATTTCCACTATGTCTAATACGGCTGTAATCACCATTGTAAACCTTGTGTCATTGTGAGGACACATATAATTAAAAGAGGATTAGCAATGGACGGGCCCAGATGCCTTCTGCATGTAATTAACATTCAGACAATGTGGCGGGCATACAGAGAAAACACCTGTGTTTGTGTGTGTGTGTGTGTGGTTTGAATTTCTGTCTGTCAGTGTGTATGAATGTGGGTGTGTCTGAAGGTGTGTTCTGTGTGTGTGTGTGTGTGTGTGTGTGTGTGTGTGTGTGTGTGTGTGTGTGTGTGTGTGTGTGTGAGAGAGAGAGAGGGATTAGCCTCGGAAAATTTAGTCTGACATCAGCCAATCAGAGCCATGCAAGGGGGGTGTGTGCGTGTGAAAATTATCCACAGTAACAGATAGGCTGCCAGGAAACGGTATTAAAATAGTGACAGTGATAACATTGACCAGAGTATACTGACGCGTGTAGTGGACAAAAGTGGGCTGTGATCAGAGAGAAATGCACTGGTTTTAACCTCCGAGTGATCTGGTTCAATGATTTCCAGTGGATTGCTTTAGGTTGATGTTAGCCTACATGTTAGAAGTACAATCACAGCCTGATCTAATGGCAACACCAGAGTACTTTTTTGTTGTTGTATGGTGGGGCTAATCCCAATAAGAGTTGGGCTGGAACCAGTGCCCACTGTGGCCCAACTATGCCCGACAATAGCGCTTCTGGCCTAAAAAATCAATCATTTATCTCATGAAAGTACCTGAATGTACACTTGAGCCACAGGAGTACACGGAAAAAATGGCAAATGATAAGCGACAAATGAACACGTTGCTATGAGAAAGAATGATGAGACAGTGGGAGGTTGGCGACCATTGGCAACAACATCCCTACCTTTCAGTCATGACCATTTTCATCAAAACAATCAATTACATGCATGAATAATTATATTTGGCTTCATTCTGGGAGCAACTCCCCTCTTTCATTTCAACGTTGTAAGTAAAATTTATTGCTGGGGTGCTGGTTTAGCTTAGCTAGCAGAGCAGTAGCTCCATGTGTAGAGGCTACTATCCTCCACGTGCTGATCGTAGGGTTGCAATGCAGCATAAATCGCAAAATATACACACGTTTTTTTTTTTCCTCCATAGAGTGTTAGGGATAAGAAAAGAGCATTTTTGTCCAGCATACACCGTATCATCACTCTGTCCCGATGCCAATAAGCAGGTTCTCCTGGGTCTGTGGGACGGGCTGCTGCCGTGTGATTACACTGTGATGTGATGCTGAGACGGGGAGGTCGCAGTTGCTCTTTCCAGGCACTGTGACATTAAAAGGCGATCGTCTAATGGAATTGACCTTTCAGCTTCATCTCCCTATCATGCATATATGAGGAGGATGCACTGACTGTGTGTGGATGTATAAGGAGTGTGTGTGTGTGTGTATGCTTCATACAACAAAATGTGTGTCCTCCATTTGCGTGTCTATGTGCCCGCTTGCATACAATCCAGTGTCTCTTTGTGTGTATGTGTGCACAGATAGAGGGATATTTGTGTGCGTAGTTAATGCCAGTGGGATCGTCTAGCATTACGCGAATGACCATGAGATGAGGTCGGAGAGAAAGGGCACAGTGGAGACGTGAGAGTGTGTCACCCTTGACCTGTAGGCCATTAGCTGATGGGTAAATACTGTCGCCCTGCTGTAGAGCTGTAGAGGAGCTGACTTGCTGAATTGACTTGTCCGCTGCTCCGGGGCTGTAATTCTGTCCAAACAAGCTGGGTCTCCATCTCAAACCATTAATGTGAAACTGTCCCTCGGAAAAGTCTGAAAAAAGAGGGGAAAGTCCAGTTTGTCAGTTTTTATTTAACCTTGACAGCTAGCACGAATCTCTTAATCTGTCTGTCTATGTTTAATGTTTAATGTTTAATCTGTCTATGTTTTACAAGCAAAAGTTCTACTGTAGGGGTCTTTGGTTTTAGTGATAGGACAAGTAAGGCAAAGTAGACAAGAACTACAAGGTACAATGAGGCGGACAGGTAACACAAGGACAGCAAGGTAGACAAGGACTAAACAGATGATGAGGACAATAAGGTAGGCCAGTTCCAAGAAAGTAAATGGACAAGAACAACAAGGTAGATACAGCACTCAAGAAAAAGAATAGGGGCATAAACAATGGACAAGGACTATAAAGACGACGAAAATCACAGCATAGACATAGAAACTTCAGAGGCAGGGACAACAAGGTAGACAAGGACTGACAAAATGAGGAACAGAAGGTAGGCCGATACCAAGATAGCGAAGAGGATAAGGACAACAAGGTAGACAACCAGGGTTGCCAGTTGTATGATAATTGGAGTATTTGTACAATAATTTTACCTCCACTTGATGTTTCAATCCAATTGTAGTGTAAGTGTGAACACCCCTGAAGAGGATGGTGATGAACGGGAGCTGAAGAGATGTGGGGCGGGGCGGTGAATGACCACAAAACTTTAGCCACAAAATTGTGAGTGCCTGTAGAACTAAACAGACTGACTATAAAGTAGCTATCATGCAACAGTAAGATTGTTATTTTGATTATAACCGATATGATAATTTTTCCAAAATATGATAATTTAGAGTCTCTGGTACAATAATTCTATATATTCCCATCTGGCAACGCTGATAAAAACAAGATACAGCATCCAAGAAAAACAATGGAGACATGAAGTAGGTGGAAAAAGGACTATAAAGACGAAAAAGACCACAAGGTAGACATGGAAACTTTAGAGGCAAGAACAACAAGGTAGGCAACGCCAACAAAAGGGTCAGGGCAAAGAAATGGACAGGGTCAACAAAAAGGATGAAGAAGGCAAGATAGACAAAGGCAACAGAGAGAAGGAGCTCAACAAAAACAATAGAGGACGAGGACAACAAGGTAGACAAGGACAACAAAGAGGTAAGGATAGCAAGCGCAACAAGATAGTGAATGACAATGAGGTTTTGTTGAGTCCCTCAGCTTGATGTGTCTGTCTGATCTCAGTTCAGTGTCTCATAAAGAGTGAAAAAACAGTTGACTAATGCTAAGCTTCCTCATTGCTTGTAACTTTTTTATGATTAATTTATATAAAAGGATATTATTGAAGGTAACATGCATACACCGTTCTAATCACCTAACTCAGTAGGTGGCTTTGAGCACAGACGCAGGGCTCTTACATTGTATGTATTGTGATTATGTAGAGTTTTTTTTCTCTGTAGCTTGAATGCTTGAAAGATGGAAACCACTTAATTATAGAGCAGCATCTATGCTTGATTTGATAATGGAAGTAAATAACTAAACTTGGGAGTCGACATGCACTCATAATCTGCTGCCAAGGAGACTCAGTCTGATCAAAAGTTTGGCCATGATCTGAGGAAGAATATATTGAGTGTGATGGAGATACTTCTGATGAGTGGCCATGTAAAAGGCACTTTACATTTTAACACTGGAAATGTGAACAGTGGAGCAAACAATTTCCACTTTTTTTTTTTTTTCTGGCGGGGTTTTCTCTCACTTCAGCCTGTATGTTCCTCCCTTCATTCTGTGGAGTGCACTTTCGCATTTACCCATTCAACGGTCTAAGAAGTCTGGAAACTACTTCAGGGTCTATACCTTGATTGGAATGGCATGTTGAGGGAAAGGTCTAGTTTTCTTGCATTAAAATTGTCTAACAGGAGCCTGTACTTCCAAAATAAAAGCCCTGCCATCATCGTGTTTTTAGACACTTACAGAAGGTTTAAAAGGTTTTAAATTGTCTATAAGAAAGCTTCCAGGTTGAAGAATTGTAAGAAAACCCAAGAAAGGTTTGGAGGTATGTGGTTTAGAGGCAACACTTGAACGTCCCATCCTCTTGTCTGCCGCTGAGTGCTGAGTGGCTCTGACTGCTCTAAGAGAGCACTCTGCTTCTCAGGGCTAAATCACTCAGGACTCATAAAGAAAGGACTCGCAGCTCAAATGCCGACAGTGTTAGCTGAGCAAACAGACAAATGGAAGTGCAGGATGTGCGTGTTTGTGGGCCAGCCACATTGCCATTCCCATCACCTCACACCCCGCACTGTACAGCATAGCGTGAATCTTCATGTCATATAGATGTCTGGATTTTCTTTGATGCTGTCTTAAACATCAATCTTGCAGTTTTTTATCATGCGTATGACTCCATGATTGATTGAATCTTCACTTGAAATGATCTTGTTTTGATATAATTTACACACTTCCATTTGACTTATTCTGATATGATGTTGAGTTCAGTTAGTGGTTTTCTAGTGAACCAGTAGACTTTGAACAAACGCTGTCCTTAAAGCAGGACGTCCTGGATCAAACCCACCCTAGGGCCCTTTGGCACAAGTCATTTCCCACTCTGTCTTCCCAGTTTCCTGCTCTATCCACTGTATAACATCTGCATATCCAATGGCAAACTTATTAAAAAAATGTGGAACAGTGCTCTCACTTTGAATTAGGGCCTTATTATTGCTCACTGAGCTAATAACAGGCTGGGTGGTTCCTCTCCACTTAAGTGCAGCGAACACAGTGTCCATGATGTCCAAAAAACAAATAATAATAATAATTAAAAAAAAGGGGGATGCTAATTGGATCCATTAAACACAAAGACAGTTTTACACTTCACCTTAGCCCATCTGAAACGGGTAAGGCCCCAAAAAGTCACTGGCATCTCTAGATAATGTTTACATATATTGGCAGACTGATGCAGTTTTGAGCCAGTGCTGTGATTTCCACTACAGTGCAATGTCCTTTTTAAAAGAAGTGCTTCCTGAACACCAATTTTACAGGTTTTCTGCTCTTTTGATATTATGTACTGTAGATTATGAACTCTTCAAATTTCTGCAACTCCACACAGAGGAAGTGGTTGAAATGGTTGACTTTTTGCTCATGCAGTCTCTCACAGACTGGTGAACCTGCTCTTTATCAACCTAATTTGTTGGGTGATGTCCAGAGTTATCTTTCAAATGTGCTGCTGGGATTAGGTTTGAAATCAGCAGATAACATTTTTCAGTTTTAACATTTCATAATTTGAATTTGAAAATAATGATTAAATAATTTGAAAACTATCATAATCTGGGTCTTGTGACATTCTACACACCATCCCAGTGTTTCTGGATTTAAGATTGACTGATTTCTGCTGGGATATGGTGATGCTTACAATGTATTTTTTAGACTGTGAGGTAAAACACAAAGGCCAGACAGATACAGAATCTAGTATTATTTAAACTGCAAGGCAGAGCTGATCAGCTGTTTCACTACCAAAACCGGAGTCCACATTGTCCCAGTCTTATGTTAAACAATCAATCTAGACCTACATTTTAGCAATATTACATTAACTTCCCAAAGAAAGCCGAGCAGTTAGAGACCCCAATTATTGGAGCAAATGACCCTTTTTTTCCACTTTAAAATGGGAACCAATTTCCCCATTCTGCTCTCCTTTGGGAAAGCTCTTTGCTCCCTCTCGTCAAATGATGGGAACTTAACACATCCTTGGTAATGATAGAGCAAATCAATTGCCGGGTCACTTGAGGATCCGGCAGGATGGAGACGGGGAATAAGAGAATCAAGGCATGATGCAAGATATCCTTGAAAGAACAGATAATAGATGGAGGATAAATCCAGGAACTACATGACTTTTCTGCGGCTTCATTTTTTCCCCTCTTGTGTAAATGTAAGAACCTCTGAATTATTCCTGTTTTTTTTCATTCAACAAATTTCTTTTTGTTGAAATTGCGACCAGATTTTTAAGTGTGATTCATATGCTAATAATGCTGTTTCTGCCCGCACAAAAAGATTGGAGATGAGATTTCGTGAAATCAGTCACAGGTTCAAGAGAGGACAAAAGCTGCACAGATACAACTAAGTCATAAAGAAAAACTAGCTGAAGGCTAAGGCTCATTCTTTCATTGTGTGATTGTGTTTTCTGCAGGAGCTCACAAAGCTATCGATCCCATTATGTGTAAAATAAAGTAAGAGAAAGAAACCAGACGAGGCGTGGTGGAGTACGAAGATTACAGCGGGCCTGCATACACACCCAGAATTACCCTGCCTCCATGGCTCCAATCTATTTCAATTGGACATGGCTGCTGAGAGTGTAGCATCGCCTCTAACACACACTTCTCACGCTGCACGGGCCTGTAAACAGAGTGATGGAATGCATTCAGATTTTACACACACACACACACACACACACACACACACACACACACACAAAAATCCCACAAATAAAAGCTCTCGTATGTAAAGACAGACACACACACTCTCGGAAACCCACAGCAGACAGAAATCCAGACTCTCCGCCCCACACACCAGCTGTTTACTACTGTCAGGAGTAATAAAAACAACATGAGTCAGTTTGAGGAAAGCATTTGCAGGAGAAATCTAAAACTATGAAACTCCATATGGTCTCTGTCTGTCTCCCTCCATCAGCTCTTTCTCCTCTCTATCTTCCTCTCCATGCGGCATTGCATACGCTCGGCTGAGAGACGTCAGATCATTGCAAACGCTGACAACCTGTATAACACTCATCGCTTGGAAATTACACTCAAATTTTCAGCTTGGAGATGAAACTCAGGATGAATTAAGACGGGGGAGAGAGAGATGGCGGGAGAGAGGCGGCAGTGGAGGATGACAGTGATGTTTATTGACTTTTTTTCCTCTCACATTATGGCACATCACTCTTAACAAGGCGCCTTTTACAATATATTACAAGCTGCAGATATTGTTTCGATTTCAGTTCCATTCTGTCTCGAGTGCGGCGCTTCAAAAGGCCTTAAATGAAGTTACAACATTGAAATGCAAAGAATGCATTCGTTCAAGAAGGGAAGCTGCACACCAGCCTGAGCTGCAGGAAGGAGCAGCAGCAACACTTGGACCTGACAGAAAGAGAGAGCGACTGTTATAGAAATGTAACACATTGCCATCTGCAGGCAAGTGGAATCGGCAGGCGGGAAAGAACACACACGCAGGCAGATTCACACACACACTCAAGCACGCAAGCAGATGAACCTGCTGAGAGCGAAACAAACTTGACTAATTTAATCAGAAAACTCATCATAGGAAATAAATTGCACCCGTGAACTTGTTTGTTATTCATTCATTCATTGTTCAGGCTGGACAAGCTGCTATTTTACAACCAAAGGAGCCACATAAGAGCCCTGAGATTGTCAGCTGGCACGTGAACTCTGCTGCTGATGTTGACTGGCAGAGTGCACTGAGTCTGTACTGAGTGTGCTTTCAGGTGAATGGTTAAAAAAAGAAAGATAAGTCATATTTTTTAACGATGCAGCTCTGGCTCTGACAAGTTTAACTCTTTAAACTCTGCTACAGAAATGAGAAATCATTTCTTGGAGTGTTATCAAATACACTATTTCTGAAGATCCTGCGAGACAAAAGCTAAAAGGTTAGACAAGACAATAAAAAACCTTAATACATATACACACAGTTGTGTTCATTGTATTGTGTTGAGTTAACATTCACGATTTACTGACACTGAATAAAAATGATTATACTCTTCGTACAGGTAGACCTCGAAGTCAAGCTTTGCTGCTGCTCTCCCTACCTTGACCTTTTGATTCCTTTAGCAGACTCTTTAGTCAAAACATTTGAGAGCAATCACAATGCAAGCAGGATCTAGATATAAGGAAACAATAAGGGTAAGAGTCCAAAACTTCAGTGTGTGCTTATCTAACAGAGGGGAGATGTGCTCTCCCTGTCTCAAAGCTTTGGTATTTCATGTGGAAAGGCAGAGTCAACTTGTTGCATGCAAATGAATAATTTTCTTTGACTAAAGTGGTCCTCGCTGATATCAAACTGACATTAGATTCAAATGAAGACAAAAAAAAAACGGCTCATCAACTGGCCAGAAAAGAAAATGGAAATCTACTCTCTATTGCCAACTTATTTATAACATATAACCACCGTTTTTCAACAGGCAAGAGTTCACTTGTTCAGTCCTCAACAGGGTTCGAATGAGTTTTCACACCACTCCAAACATGCTGGACCATCTAAAGAAACAGACAAGGTTTTGTTAAAAGTGGACCAAACACCTCTGGTGTGAGAAAGTGGGATGCTGTATTTTTCTTTTGCTTAAAACAGGCCCTTGTTCTTGATATTCTACTTATTTTGGATTTTAATAGGAAATAAACAATCTAGTGAACATGGTGGCTCTGGCTCCATGGTAAAGTGGGTCATCTGTCAATCTGAAGGTTAATAGTTCGATCCTGCTATCACTTACAAAAGTGCCCTAGACTGAGCAACAATTACATGGTGACTTTTATGTTTGCGTCACTAGCTGTATATGGAGACTGAATGACAAAAATGTTCATGTGTAAAGAAAAGAGCACGAAATGAAGGGCCCCCCCTCTTCCACCTGTTGAGGTCTGTTTTTTGAGATGGGAGAAAAGGAAACAAAAGTATCATTCACATGCAGAAAGTTGCGTAATTTGTTATTGAAATACAGGTAAATGTCACTGATAATAGGAAAAACTGGTCCCTGTGGGTAGTTTTCTTTTTAAATTAGTGCCTCCCATTCACACAAACAAAGTAATACACCAATTGGAAACCACTCTGATACATGTAGACACACACACACACACACACACACACACACACACACACACACACACACACACACACACACACACAGAATGAAATGAAAGCCATCAGAGAGGGCCAGTGATGGAAAACAATGGTGACATCAGCCGTCAGCCAACATCAGCCCCGGGAAGATCGCCGTGACAACCACGACATCGACCCCTCCGAGAGATTATCGTCAGCTGCTGCCTCATGGCTACTGGACACACATGCATACATATTTTCTGCAGAATGATAGCAGACTATTTAATGAAGAACAAAAGCCCATAAAACTCGCAGATATTAACACAAACTCACCAGCAGAAGCTTTTAGCACATTTCAGCCGAACCTCATGTCAAAGCTGATTTGGTTGTGCTGCAAAGAAGATTTCTCGTGGCTTTTGTAGTCGGTGGGTTGATGACATTGATTCCTAAGTCATGCTAGCTATAATGTCCTTCTCTCTTTAGTCATGCTAAGGCTATTCCATGTTGGTTCTGATAGCACCTCTCAAGAGTTGTCAGCAAACAGAACCTAACCTTAAGAATGAAAAATAGATTCAACCCAGAACTTAGGTGACTACATCTAGACCATCCTAGAATCCTGCTTTTTAAAGGTAAGGCGTTTAACTCTCTTTTACTGATTATAAATGGAAGAAAATATGACCAGAGGTAAAACACCAAACTAGAGGAGATGTGTGCAGTGACATTGACTGACCGAATAACTAACAAATCTCTTCGCCAGTTTGCACCAAGATTACAAGTTGGCTAGACCAATTATCAGCATTTCTATTTCTGTGGGCCAAAAATCCATGTCATATATTGTATCCAAGCTTCAACATCCCTTGTGGCGCCTGCTTTTGTCTTTGATTTCACGTCTGTTTTCTTTCACCATGGTCAAACTTGAAAATAAAGAATGATTATTATTAAGATTTTTGGGTCTTCTCAAAGTCCTTCATTGTTCTGCTTACTCACCGCCATCTCAATTGGTCTTCCTCTGTCTTTCTTCTTTGTCGCTTGACCTTCAACAAAGTGAATGGCTTGAACACTTTCTCTTTGCATGAAAACTGGCAACAAACTGGCTTTCAGTGACATGTGTTGAGTACAAATTACAGAGCATTCTTGAGTATGAAAGCATTCAAAGAATAAGAAAAGGCTGCAACAGCAAGAGTCAAGAAAAGAACAAGCAACTTCAGCAGATAGCTCTTCTCACGTGTGGTGACTTTATGAAAATCACAGTTATCTTTGCTTTTTCACTCCAAGTCTGCACTTGAGTTTGATTACACACATCAGCAAAGCTCAACTACCACCTGCTTAATCATCAAAAACACGGTCATTCAAAACTTCCTTTATCACTCTCAGCTGGTGTCCATTTTTATGAATGCAGTGTGTACTTGTGTTTGTTTGACAGGCAAATGGGTGAATGTTGGACTTAACCTGTTTTCAATTTGTGCTAATGGAAATATAATTATTGCATAAATTTACCTAAATTTACACAAGTGTCCAAAAGCCAACTGATTTATTGGATTCAACAAAAAAATGACAAGTTTCCATGTTGTTCCCATTTTATTGTACTAATTTGGGGTTTGGTGCTTTCAAATTAAATAATAATGCTCAATTTCATCGCCAACTTCCTTTAATATTCAAATGCCGTGCTTTTAGACACACTGTGACAACGCCACAGAGTCCTGGCATGAACAGATAAATCATATTTTGGTGCTTGTATTTGATTTTTGTCTTATTTCATCACATTTGCTCCATTTTCCAGCGCTTCTTAATGATTTTGTTTGCATTTTGATGTCTGCTCATATTCTGTCAGACACTAATCCACTCTGTCAGAAAAAGAAAAAACTTGGAAAGTATGTTGGCGTCGCTGGTAGGAGCTCATCTACATACGGGGTCAATTTGCACAATCGCAGGACAGATCCAGAGGTGCGTTGTCTGATTTCGGGAGCGCAGCAGCGGTTTGTACAGTAGAGAGTGTGAACTGGGGGTGAACTCTGTTGTGTACGGTGAGAGCCCTCAAAGCCTGTGGGGAAAAGGGAAAGAGAAAGAGAAGGCAGAGAGGCTCCTCTAGAGATAAGACTCACAGAATTAATCCTCTTGATGAAGCCTCAGCCTCAGCCCGCTCTGTTTATCTGCCATTCAAAGGCTGCAACAGGACCGGATGGGAACATGGAAAATAGATTAGGCTTCTCCTGTCTAGACACCACACACGTACAAACGCACACACAAACACAGGGGTGCACACACCCAAAGTGACACATGTTGACAAGGAGGATGACAAAGAGAGGGATCACTGAAAATGAGGAGTTTATAGGGAAGAAAAGATTCAAACAGTTACCCCTTTTATGTTAAATGAGACGGTCAGACAAAAAGCCTCAAACAAATCAATCTCACACAAAAGCAGTGTGTCAATTCAGATAATTTCAAAGGTAAATGCTTAGTATTCAATTTCACAGTCCATATTTACAAGTGGCTTTGTCTTGAACTCACCAAATGGTGGCGTGTGGACCAGATCTGGATCATCCAGACCTGAGTGAGCTTGTTCAATTTTATCAGTTTCTTTTCTTTCACAGCTCAGTTTTTCTTGCCTGTAACGATTGCAATGGCCCCAGGAAGTCAAGAACCAGTGTGTTTTTGAACCAGGCATTCACATCATCTACTGACACTGTACTGGTGTTAGTTAGGGGTTGATGGGATAAAATGGCAAGTTACAACCTAGAGGAGCACTGCCAGCAATATCAGGCTGCAATCGTCACTTCACTCTGACTGAGTTTTATTTTAATGAATTGATGTGATTTTTAATAGCCTTGGCATCAGTATTTGCTCTAAGGTCTTCTTTTCTACCAGCAAAGAAAATGCTGGTCTATCATTCAGAAAATGCTTAAATCAGGGACATTTCCTGGGACAGCTTTAGCTGGGGACAAGTCATCCAAAATGGGGACTATCACCAGAAATCGGAGACGTCTAGTCACTTTATATTAACCTGACAAAGAAGAAGGATCCAAACCCTGCTCTGATATGGTAAGATGGATCATAGACAACTTGAGCAAGATCAAATTGCCTTTGTCATTTTTAATGTAATCTGCCGATCCTAAATATGTGTTGGATTAAACCTTTAACTGGACTTGGATTGTGGAGGCCCGTTCTATTAAAACAAATGGGAAACCAGGAGAGCAGACACGGTGCTTGGAAACATGCTTCGACAAGGAGTGAGCGAGACCAAATCCTTACTGATCCTTCACCGAGGTACAAGCCTGTGCAATTATGTTCTGGAAACTCACTGCAAAAAAAAAAAAAAAAAGAAAAAGTGGAAGGAAATAACTGATGGGCAGTGGTGCTGAATCTAGCAACATCTCAAATGACAAAAACAAGCGATGAAATCCTTGGAACAGCATTTTCTGTTCACTCTTTGTGAAGTTTTCAAATTCCAAATTGGCAGCAGTGTCCCAATTTTGCAGCTCAGTTGGCTTCCTTCAACACAAAGTTGCATCATTTCCAGTTGGAACGGCACAGAAGAGTAGCCTACATCAGGTTCCTCTGTACTAAGCGCCAGAACAGTGTGCTGTCAAATGTAGTTCAAAGTCTTAGAGTTGGGTGTAATTTGTAGTATTTTGGAGAATTGGGTCAAATTTGTCTGAGCAGAGCGATGGCGAGTAGTTTCAGAGAGTGGTTTTTCGCTGGAATATCTTTGGCAGGTGTCCTTTAAAGGAAAAATCAGACCGAAATTTTTCTTTTTAATGACACCTTAGTACAAAACCAAATTCCTATTTTTTTGGATAACATTTAACACTTTTGGTTGCTGTTTTTTTTTAATTGCAGCACTTCTTCTAAAGGACAAATATCTATTCTTGTAAATTGATTTCTTCAGAACGATCCTTTCATGGTGGCAGAGCAGCTCAGTAAATAAGTAAACGATTAATGGACTAAATATCCTTTTAAAATTTTCAAAAGGGAACAGCATGTTTTCTTCAGTCTTTATCAGAAATTGTTCACTGGCATGGTCGAGATGCATGTGATATTTGTCTGGCAGTTTGAAACAAATAACAAACAGTGAATGTCTGTGTTTGAGAGGGATCTGAACGAAATAAAATCTCACAGAGAATACTACCAGTGCTTCACAGTCAAACAGAGCGTCCAGAATGAGACCGTCCTTTCTTATTTTAGTGTTTCAGAATTTCACAGGTCAGGAAAACTGGAGCCAGATTCTGCTATTCTGGAGAATCATGTATGAAAATCCGATTTGAAAGAGCACCAATACTCAAACTAACATCTCTGACTGGATCAAATCCTCCTCTCTCTGCTTTTTGTCCGAAAAGGGAGAAATTCAAGCCAAACAGCAAATGTGGTGTATGCCTTCCAAATTGGATTTAGGGTTAGAGAAATTTGTTGAAAGCCTTTGCAATCCCATGGTCAATATCGCTTCTTCCTCTTTTTTTTTTTTGATAAATACTTCACAAATTTCGAGAGGGATACAAAGAGAATTGCACTCAATTAGCAGATTTGAGAGAGTGGATCCAGATTTAATGAAACACCTTCAATTCAGCTGAAGAGAAGTCTGAAAAATCCCTCTAACTTAACTACAGGTTTTCTGAAAAACATGCGTCTGGTTGGGTTGTGGCTGTGATAAAAGCTTCACCTGTGACTACTTGGGGGCAAAAGCAATTTTCAGATCACAAAGCAGTAGATGCTGTGTAAAGTCAAACACTTCGCCTTGACCCAGCTGATTGGGGTGCTGCTTTAGGGGAGCACTGCTACAAGTTGCCTTCTTTACAGATCAGAGTATTGATGCACCTTTATACCAACCCGGTGTCTAACTTAAAACTGATGGCATTAAGTACAAGACTAATGCTTTATCAGCCATTTAACCTTGTTTGCAGCTCTAAAACTGTTGCTGTTAAGCAGATATCCACCTTCCACCCAGAAAAAACAGTGCAAAGAGGACAAATAAAAAGGTTGAAAATTAGAAAGTGTATCCTTTGATGAAGTAAATGTGCTCGTTTTAGATTTGAAGCCAGCAACATGTTACAGAAAAGTTTAAACAGAAAACAGAAAAAAAATACAATTTCGAAAAATATCCTGGAGGAGCATCCCCCAACTAACAAGGTGAAGTACAACAGGTTAGCAACATGACTAAGTGTGGCAAAACAAGATAATGAAGGTTCATCCCTCTGTAAGAGACTGCGTGAGCAAATGGTTCAACATTTTCAATAATGATCCTTACTGTGAATAGCAAAGATAGGGGGATTTCATCATCTACACTATGGTTGTAAAAATGGAAAAATCAAGAAAAACCTGTGTACAGAAGGAAAGAGTCCAAAAGCCAATTCTGAAAAGTGTCTAAAACAGACTTAGCTCTGTTGTGGAAATTGCCGCATGAGGTCCAAATCACATCTAAAATCTATTCTCAGTGAACACAGTTGACAAAATGACTGCGTAATACTGGCAGCTACTCTGGGCCCAAGGTTGTCAAAAATATATTGAGGGAAAACAGTCCTGTGGTCAAGGAAATCCAAATTTGACTTTCTTTTTGGACAACACAGATGCCCTGTCCAGCACCCTCAAGAGGGGAGGGGCCACCCCGCTTGTTTGTCAGCACACGTTCAAAGCCAGCATCCCTGATGGTGTTAGGATGCATCCAGACAACGACTTTTTCAGGAGAAACTGTGTCTATTTTAGTGAGACCACATTCTGTATATTATAATTACATGGCTCTGCAGTAGAAGAGTCCTGGTAGTTCAGAGTTGTCACTTAAGAAAATATTGGTGCATCATTAAATGAAAATCACAAAAAAGGAGACTCTGAAACTGTTGAACAGCTGAAATCTTATACCAGGTAAGGACAGGGACCATGATTCACCTTCAAAACTCCCAAAAGTGTCTCCTCGGTTCCCCAACATTTGTCTCCACTCTGTTTTCAGTCAAAGATTTAAAAAGGTTTGAATGACTTTTAAACCATAATTTCTGTTTCCAGTCACACTTTACACACCGTTTCTTTGGAATTAGGCTGGTAAAAATGACAGTAAAGAACAAAAACAATACACGAATCCTCTTTGTTTTGGTCCCTTTTTCCTGTAAACACTGATGGTGTTACATTTCTTGTTGAACCCCTGTGCACTTCAGAGGAAATGAGAGGTTTCTGTCCAATAAAAGTCTGAATATGTTAAACAAGGCCTGAAATGCAGAGTCACCAGAGCTTCATGCACCTGTGCTTCTGCTGAACGCGCTGCTTTGAAGTTAGATTGATGCCCCCGGAGATATATACATCCATTTGTCACTAATTGGTTGTCATGGCAGGAGTCATTCGCTGAATTTGAATTTCAGCAATTCCATCAGGTCATGTGTTTTCATTTGTCTCTGTTTGCAGCCATTTATAGAAACACATTTGGGTCAAATTCAACTATTTGCCATCAATTCAGAGGCAATTCTGCTCTGGTAAATGAAAGAGATGGAGGAGGGAATGTGTCTATTACAGCTGGTTTGCTGCTGAATGAGCTCCATATGTATTTACTGTCTTTGTTGGAGTGAGTGTGTGCTGAAGTGCGCAGGTGTGTACGAGCTCTGTTGTACATGTACACAAACATCGGAGGGGCAGAAACAGAGATAATTGAAAAAAGAATCTGAATACAATGTCTATATGATAATGTCTGTATGACTGTGTATGTGTGTGTGTGTGTGTGTGAGGATCAGAGACAGCTGTGTGATGATGAATGGACTGATAGCTGATCTAGCTGAGCTTACACCCTCTAATTAGTTTTTAATTGACAGCCATTAAAGATCCTCATTCCCAATCCTGATTATCTGTTGCACAGAGCAGAGATCTGACTGCCCCCTTCTCCCAGGCACTTATTTATCTTCTCTGGTGCTGATTTGCAGCATTTCTGTCTCTCATGATATTGTGCACTTTTGAATATTTATTTCTTAATTATATACATTTAGCTGACACTCAGTCCCAGATGCACACCCTAGAAAAAAACACTTCTCTGCTGGGCTGTGAGTTTTTTTAATGAGTCAATTTTTCTCTGGAACAATTTTTAATTAGGTTATACTTAAAACCTTTTTTTTTTTTTTTACTAAACTGCTCTTGTGCAAAACGTTTTGGTTTGTGTTGATTTTGGTGCCTCCTGCAGGCAAAGTGGCCTCTCCAATCTTTCTGTTGATTTCTCTTTGTTGGAGACTTTTCTGTGTCGGTCCTTCTAGACCTTGGCTCTGTTTTTAACACTGAAGACCATCATGTCCTTATGAATCAACTACAGGATTGGATGGGGATAGAGGTCTGGACTGGTTCTCTTCATTCCTTAGAGACAAAATGACTTGTCTCCTGTAACATGTACAGTACCAAAAGGCTCAGTCCTGGGATCCTTGTTCTTTTCTCTTTTTTTGTTTCCTGTGGTCTAAGCTGGTGATTTTGTGTATAAATCTTTTAACATGTGGTGTGCCACAGGGCTCAGTTCTGGGGCTCTTAGTATTTTCCCTGTATCTGCTTTCTGTGGTCTCGGTTGGTGATTGACTCGTCTCCTTCAACATGTGGTGTACCACAGGGCGCAGTCCTGGAGCCTTTATACTACTTTCCCTGTATCTGCTTTCTCTAGGGAAGACTGTATCGTGTTTAAATAAGACATATAATTTCAATGCATATGATTTAAAGCTTCATTTGTCATGTTAACTGAGCTGTCTTGGCACTGTCTTGGCTTTTGGGCTCCCTCAAAGCAATTTGAATCTGGACCTTTGAGAATTGTTTAAAATATTTGCTGATAAAAGAAAAATACTAGTTATTTTTGTTCAAAAAAGGTAAATAACTTAAGTTACATGAAACACTTGGACCCTCTCTGCTGCAGGATGTTCCTAAGTTTAATACCTAAAAGTTATTTTTAATCTCTCCTCAACATTTGACAGTCATGTGAAGCAGCTCTCTGTGTTACGTCTCCATCATTTCACACCTAACCTGTTTGGTTCAGTTAGAATGAAGTTCAGTCCATTTGTCTGGTTTGTAAAGTTTGAAAGCTGGCAATTGAGCTCTATTTTCACTGACCTACAGGAAGCTTTGCCTTTTTTGGAAATTCAACAAGCTACTCTTGCCAGTCATACAGGCTAAAGGTAGTAATTTGTTCTGCAGCAAGCAAGGACGCTGCACGGAAATATAAACAAACCCCTTATACTTAAGTGCAATAGAACTGCTCATAAATAACTGCATCATTCACAGTAAATAAAAGATTGAATGGGGAGCAGCCCTGCAACAATGGGCACCCTAAGAGCAAGGTTTTTTTTTTTTTTCCTTAAGGTAACTGTGGCCATGTTTTTCCTTGATTATTAGATGACAGTAGCAGGAAATGAGAAAAGAGACAAAGAGATGGGAGAGACATGCAAAGGTCCTGGCCAGACTCAAATAGGGGAAGTGCTGGTTCATGGTCATTGCCTCAAACCCCTCATCCTTAAGGGTTGTTTGAGATGCATTAAAGATAAGTGCTCATGCTACTATTTAATAACTAAGAGGATATGGCTTTATGTGATGAAACCCAAGGTTGCAAAATGCAGCCCAGTAAACCACAGCTTTATTGAAGGTTTTAAGACCTGCAAACCCAGGATTCTTATTTCTTCTACTCAAACCAAAGGACAGAAAAAGGAGAAAAAAAATACTTATTTCAACCACATGAGAAGTTTGACAGAATTATAAGTGTTGACAGGATCACGACATTCTCTGCTGTTTGTTCTTCTCTGAGGTGTCACTGACTGTAGGAGTGTGTGTGTGTGTGTTATTGACACACAGACTGTCGAGCATATGTGATCGGCTTTCATCCTCTGAGTTTCTGTCTCTGTTATTCATGATGAGCAGTCCAGCTATTAAAAGAAAGTGAAAACAGCATATGTGTCACTCCTACACCAATCCATATATACTTAGTTATGAAAAACATATGTATAACTGCCGTCAGATTAAATAAAACAATGTGTATCTACAAACTTTTCAGCTACCGAGGTATAGATCCTTAAAAACATCTTTGTTAAGGTCTTGTTAGGGTTGGAACTAAAAGACAGGGACTCTACTAGACTTCTGAAACATCTTGCAGCAGATCCTTTAAGACCTGCAGGATTTGAGACGGGGCCTCAGTAATTGGACTTGCACATCCCTGAATTGTTTGATTGGACAGGGATCTGGGGAATCTAGGGCCACCTTCTTCCATTGCTTCATGGTCCAGTACTGATGCTCACATCATGATCGCTCTGCAGCTGAACAATCCTGTATCCAAAAACTGTAATGCGCCATGGTTTCTAATGTTTCCTATCAGAGCTACGGTTAACTTTCAGCGGTTTGTGGCTAACCTGTTAGACTTGGCTTGCTCTCACCACATTAGTGAGCCTTGGTTACCCACTGAAATGATGCACTTCTGGAAAGGACAACAGATCTCACTATACAGTGATCAAGATTTGGTCCCTTCCCAACTCTTTCCTCATGGACCAATCAAGTCTTTAGCCTCTTCATCATGGTGCCCATTTGTTTGCTGAGAATTGTTCTTCTTAGGTTGCATCAAACCAGCCTTGCTTAGTCCAGTTGAACTAAACCCTACAGCATTTACCTCCTTGGTGCGGTTTGCTTTGGTTGGTGGAAACACTGGCCTCGAACTCCGGTGCAGCCAGTCATCCGCTCACAGGTCCACCTGTTTGGGGTGGTGTTGGACTGCTATCAAGTGAACTCTAGAGCCAATCTCAGGAAGCGCACTTAGAAAAAACATTGGATCTCATTATTGCCTGTCGTCTTCTGTGATAGGACCGTCTGTTTGCAGATTGTCCCAGCCGTTCATATGAAAGGTCTGTTAAAGTCTGCTGATATGCAGTCCAGATCAGCACCAACATAAAAATGAGCAGACACTGCTCCATGAGGTACAGTAAAAATTGCAAGGGATTTGTCGTCTACCCGCCTAAACTGTATAAGCAATCACCCAACCCGCTTTTGATGCCACATGAAAATTTTTGGACCATTTGAGTTTAGCCTTTTCAAACACGAACCGCATCAGTTGAGAAATTGCAACAATGTATCATCAATGAATCATCCTCGCTTTGGTTCGTACACGAAAACTGACCTTTTGGTGCGAGCATGACCTTAGCTTATCGAGTTTCAATTGTGCAGATTTTTGTATTGAAACAGGAAACAACAAGATTCCTTTAAGCTTAAATGTTGACAATGGTGTTAATTGCAGCAATTGAAATGCAAGTTGGTATCAGGATGAGGGCGAGATCTGGATTTGGGCTCCTTTGTAAAAAAACAAATAATAAGCACAAAAGACCTTTGATTTAAAAGACAGGATAATGACTTTGCTGAGGTAGGAGTTCTGACTCATGTCTCAGAGCAAGAAATGTTGAATGGTGGAGGAAACAAAAAAATGGTTTCACACGGAGAAGGTGAATATTTGGTTGACTCAGCTTTTGCACCTTTGTATAAATCTAGCTTGACTTCTTACAGCACTACCGGCAGACAAAGGCTAGTATCAATATGGCTCTTGAGGAGCTGTATTATCCATCTTTAAGGGATTATTCAAGAAAACAAAGCTTATACTTGGAAATGGGAAGACAGGTAAATATTAGCTATTTAAAAAAAAAAAGAATAAAAATAAAATCCGTAGAAGCAGAATAAAAAGTATCAAAAGAAAAAAAAAAATACATATGCCAAAAAGCTCAAATCATGCGCAGTCACTCTAGCAGGAAGCTACGCCTGAGGACACACTGTATTCTTCTCTACAGTGTAAAGAGTATGAGGTGACGTATCGAGCCTCAGGCTATCTCAGAGTTGGTTTATTGTCTTCAGGCCCAGTATCCTACAGATCAAAGAGATGTAAACCTTACCTGAGAAGCTGTCAATCCACAATACCTGTCACACATATACTGTAGATACTGTAACACATAATACAACACAATGCTGGATGTTCAGATAGTGAGTGAAAACAGAGCCAAAGGATGCAAGACAGGCATGGATGGTGTATAATACAAAAGGAGGACATGATATGCGTGGAAATGAAGAAAGGGGAAGAGAAACAATGGATGACAGGGAAAAATAAGTGCTGAAATGATGAAAAACATACTCAAAGGACACAGAGAAGAATGAGAACCCGAAACGAAATCAGGGTCACAAGTGGGCCCCCTCACTTTATTGCAACCACCAGGTGTAGAAAACCTGTAATGCAAGACAGTGTCCCCTTAGCTAATGTTCTCACCATGACCCAAAAGTAAATGTAGATCAAGACTTTGAGTATACATGTCAGTTCATATGTTTATATAAGAATCTTTATGGTTCTGCATTGATAAAAGCCCAAAGGTTAAAGGCTTATTCAGGAGTGCATATGGAAGTTGACACCACTTTCACCCAGTCAGTGGCAGTATTATATGACAAAAATGTAGATAAATTTAGGCTGGAAGCATCATCAAACCTGTGAAATTCGGACCAGATTGGACATGATGTATTACAGTTAGTGCATATATTTACGTAGGGTGGCGCTATAAGTTGAAAAAACGGCACATAGATGTGTTCAGGGATGGACCTTGTTCATGCATACAAAATATGAAATAAATAATACACTGTTTGAAGAAGTAACAATAACTTGCTGTTACGTACTAACAGGGAATTCTTTGATAGACTTGAATTGTCAATGAGATGACACTGACCCTCAGAGGAGTGGACTGGATGAAAGCCAAAGTTTGATCAATTACGCACCATGTAAACAGCTCAAATAAGACATTTAACTCTAATTTCTGGACATCCTGTTGAGATCAGTGGGTGGATTTAAGATGATTTTTGTAGTTCTTGGGTAACAGAGGGGAAATGGAAAGAAAGCAGTGAACATATACAGAGCAAAGCCAAAAACTGGATGAGGAAAAACAAAATAAAAAGGAGGTGGTTGGAAATGAAAGGGCAAAGTGCAGAAAAGCAAAAAAAGAAAAGGTTTTGGAAAGGCAAAAACGGGGGAAGAGGAGGTAATGAAAATCAAAGAACGGGAGAGGGAAGGAGGGAAAAGGAAGCTTGACAAATGAAAAAAGAAAATGAAAAGAGGAAAAAAAAATAAACCAAAAAGGAAAAAGATGGAAAACACAAGAAGAAACCATATAAAACCAATAGGAAAGGCAAAAGCAAACAGCATTTAGAGTAAAAGTCTGGAGATATGTGGAATGATTGAGGCAGTGTTGGTGTTGAGGTTCAGAGCTGTTGATGTGTTGGCAGGGTGCAGAGCTGCGTTATTAGAGGTCATCTCTGTGGATTACAGAGCCAGAGTTCAGCGCACAACTGCGCCATGCAATTTACCTCCATGAAAAATAGATGCAGCCCACGAATGAAGTGACACATGCACTTACGGAGAGACACGAACAACGGATCTGTGAAAACAAACTGAATGGCATGAGGGGGATGACAAAGTGTGAGTGCATATGTTGTATGTGTACTTATATACCCTATGAAACAGCCAAATAGATTACTGCGCTGATGTGTCTGTTGTATAGGTGTTTCATATCACATTTGACCTTAACATGTTTGTGTTTTAGCAGTCATTGGAGCACAAAAGTCCTGACAGGCCTTCCTCAAAGTGACCCATAATGCTGGAACTTTAAAATACATGTCTTTGTGTGCATGTGCATTTGCAAGCACGGGCCTGGCTGAGGCTCCTGTTCTCACTCTTGCTTTGTTGACAGAAGATAATTTGGTTTTGACAGCAGATGCTGCCTGTCCTCTCCTGTGCCCCTATTAGAGGCAGAGAGGTATCGCATCTGACAAGCAGAGGAATGCGGAGAAGCTCCCTGAACAACGTCGACCATTCTCCACCCTTCTCTCGCCATTCACCAAACCCAGCGGGCAACACCACACGACCGTCTGCAAATGAGTTCCCTCGTTTTGCATTTCGCTTTTTCTTCTTTGGGATCTGAATTTGTTGTTGCAGCAATAAAAGAAATGGAGAGCGATTTGATAAAGCTCTGATATGTCTCAGGTTTGTGCTATCTGCAGCCATTTAGGAGGCATCCCTGACAAGATAGCGAAGAAAAAGACGCATCATCTCAACCAGATACTCATTCATATTTAGTGTCTGCATCAGTAACATTTTCAGCGTCAGGCCTTATACGCCTTCCCCCCCCACTTTTTGCGCACAGTGCATCAGCATACATTCCAGCTTGCTTAACCACTCACTAACTTTTCTTTCCCCGTTCCTAAGGGGAGAAGAAATAGTAAGATTGATCAGTCAGTGAGGGATGTTGAGCCTCAAGTCAGAGTGATCAGTGTCTCAAAGCTGGCTCTCTTTCAGCAGGAATACTGCCATGGTAACTTATACTGCACCAGTTCTCGCTCCAGGGGGGGTTTTTGGACTCAAGTCAGCTGTAAAGACATACTGCTTCACTCATTCTTCCAATGATCCTTTTTATGAGAAATATAGATTCTCAGATCACTGATAAAAGCTGAGCAGTTACAGCCCTACAGACTTTGAGTATCTTCTAATGGGAACCAACACTTAAGTATTGGTACAAGCATGGATTACAAATTACACTCAGCTTTTACTATTTATACAGACCATACTTAACTAGAATTATTACCCACTTGTGTATACTTGATTCTGGTTGGTCAAAATCCCCTTCAGCTAATTAGAATAGCTGAAAAACACGTTGAGGTTTGGGTTAGCCAACATTCCTGGATCATGTGATGCAGTTTGAACAGCCACCATTGTAATATCGTCTGAATTTATCAAAGTGTAGATCAGATTATTAAGACTACGATTACATCAGTGTTTTATATCAACTTTTTATATGTTTTGTTTTAAGTATGTACGGTGTGCAGGTGGTTACAGTGGATAGGAACCAAGTGGCGACCACCAGCCTTGAAAAATGATGCCAATGCAAAAGTGCTAAAAACTGCAGTTCTTCAAGTGTCCACTGGAGGCTGCAGAAGCGCCAGCACACAATAATCTTTAAAAAGTCAGTTTTTCAGTTTTTAGAGCAAATTAAACATGTTTAAACCTGCTCCAAAAAATGTTTTGGTCTGAATATCTCAGGGCTTTCCCAAAGAGGGCGGCACTTTGTTTTGAACATATCAAGGTTATGATATTGGCAAAATAGAGGCAAGGATGCTTGACTCTGTAAATATTGGCAAAGAGGCTGAAGGCCAGCCTTAACTTTGCCTCTCTGTCTTAAAGTTGATTGACCCAAGGTTAGGTTGAGTCACGGTGACTGCCAAGAAAAGGCTTCAAAACTTTACTTCAGAAATGGGTAACGTCATCGAGTCTATGTCTATGCATCATTCAGTCTTCGATTTTAAGGCCTTTTAAGACAATTACATGGTTTAACTGTTTTGTTTGAAAGAATTACCAAATGTTGTTTCTCAGAAAATGGACATAACCTGAAGCTGGTCGGAGTGAATGGAGAAAATGAATGATCACCGATATGATACCTGTTCTCTCCAGCTGTGAATACAGGTTTTCATCGAACCAGCTTTCAGTCTAATGCACTTCTCTGGTAGTACAGAGCTCTGGCCGGCTGTCCTGACATCTGATAACAGTTGTGGTTTAAGTCAGGACAAGTGTCTTACAAATGCCCACAGACACACACATCCACAACCGACCTCTGGGGAGATGCAGCTCCTATATCCTCACTGCCTCCTTTTAATATTTCATCTCCTGGCTGGAGGCCTCATGTTTTATTGAACCAGCCTCTGCCATCGGAGAGGATGTACTACATTATGCACCATCATTTATAAATGACTGCCAATCAATGTCTACCCTTACAGATAACTAACGCTAAACAGACTCTGCTTGTCTCTCATTGCACTAGGACACCTTCCTGAGCCTGGTGTATAAATCAGAAACTCACAGTGACTAGCTTAGCCAAAGGTGATGAGTTACACTGAGTTTAATCAAACCTAAAAGTTAGCCGAGGCAGCACTAACATGCTCATAATTCACACGGAGAGGGGTCTCAGTTCCCACTGGTTTACTTTGCTCCTCTTAATGTGAACTTCTGATATAAATATTTAACTTTGCTCTGTTTTCCTACACTGTACAGCTCACAAGAAAGCGCATGCAGCCACACAAGGCTCTGCACATGCACACATCCACTCACTAAGACCTTCACCTGGAGGCGCTAGGAAAGGATGCTAACACCGCTACTTAACGAAATAGGAACAGGAACATTTCCACACCTCTTTTTATTGACAGATAAGTGGGTTATTCTTGTTCCTGTAAATGTAAATCCCTAACAAAGCTCTTTAGCTTCTCCTGAACACACATACACACACACATGCTGACACGAGGTGATGGCACTTTGAGGCTCCATAACATGGCCCTTGATCACTGTAATCAAACAGGCAGCATCAGCTTCGAGCTCCCATAATTATGGGGCTGCTCGGGCCCCTGCGTGAGGAATGCACAAAAACACAGCAGCGTGCACCGGCCTGCACCCCCATACACACTTACGGTTTCCAAAACCATTCACACACACACACACACACACACACACTCTCAGGAAGACACACAGGCCTGCATGTGCGCTCTGCTGCACGCTCAGCACAGACGGAGCCTCGGTAAAGGACACTAATGAGTCCAATGAGACTGAGGGGAAAACAGCTCCTGAAATCTACACCACAGTGAAACACCTCAGAGGGGCTGAGGGGGAGCCGAGGGAAACCGGCGGAGGGGGTTAGGGGGTGAGGGGGAAGGGGAGGGGCTTCAGAGGGAAGGGAGGGAAGAGAAAAGATGAAGCGAAGGAGGGAAACTGAGAGAACTGACGGCAGTGGTGGTGGTGGTGGGTTGCCAGGGCCCTAGCGAAGCTGTTGCCAGCTGTAACCATGGTAACAGGTTCCCATGGCATGTGTGGTGCAGTCGGTGAGAGTCAGGCTGGGGGTGTGGGGTGTTAAGTGTGGAAGGAGGAGCAGGGTGCATATCTTTTTATTTCGTTTTATTTTGGTGAACGTCCCACCTCTATCCACCGCCCGGCAAAGGAGGACTTTAAGATCTGGTTTAACATTCTGCCCATAAAAAAACAGTGTCTGCTTATATAAAATAACACATTTTCACCAACGTGGCCCATTAAACTGGGTTTGTGAAACAGTGTTACACTCATTGTTCCAATCAGCCTGCGGTCATTCGGTGGCCTTGATGGATTAAAGCCTGGGCCCTCTGGTGGTCCATATCTACAGCTGTAACCCAGAGCCCGTGGCTTTTTCTGTACATTTCCAACCAATGAGGGCTGGGATGGTTACAAACATTTGAGGCCCTGCAGTGATGTCACCTTGTACTATTTAATAGACCTACACTGAGAAAAAGAAAAAAGACAACATGGCTTTTTAGGCATTTTGTAACAATTGAACTAAATAGGTCGACTTGTAATTTTTGTGCATGATTGTTCCTGGAGAAAAGCGTCCTCTCTTGAAATTTGTAGCAAGTGGAAGTACACTTCAAGATGGATGTATCCCTGTACTGTCAGTTCTGCAGGTGCATGTGAATTGCAACAGCGAAATGTTGCTTGAATAAAAATAAAAACAAAAATATCTTGTCATGTTTTGCTTTCGAAATGATGGCGAAGTGGTAGGTCTACATGAAGAAAGAAAAAAAATTAGTCTTAAGGTCAAAAGGAAAAAGGTGTAATGCTGCGAGTAGAAGTCTCAATTTCACCAGAATAAAGTTGCGGTGTAACTAAAACATGGTTATTATTTAATCAGAATAAAGTCCTGATGTAACAGAGAAAAGCATTGTTTTCCAACAATAAGTCACAGTTTTAGAAGAATAAAATTGCACTGTCACAAGAGTGACGTTGCAATATTATGAGAATGAAGTTATGTCATGAGAATAAAGTCGCCATTTTACGAGTATCAAGTTGTTTTTTGAGAATAAAGCTGTTCCTCAAAGGTGGTTCAAAATTAACTGTAGTGTGTTACCATGTGAATGCATTTGTGTTGCACTCTTGTTATTTCCTGTATGGTGGTCGAAGTATGTTCCCTCAGTGATCATTAAAGAAAAAACAGAAACTTCACTGTAACTCCCCACTGGGCTGAAGACGTATACAACAAACCACTACACATGGAGGACAGCCAGCATGTCTGGTTTCAGTCACATGCATGACTGTTCGTGGAGCGAGTCCAGCGCTGCCGAGCGGAAAGACAGAGAGTGGTGGCAGCAGCAGCAGCGACCACCACTGGGGGGACCGGGGGTGGGAAAACAATTTATTAGCTTCAAAATAGAGTGTCCATCATGAGCACGCTGGGGGAGCGGTTCTTTTGTTACAAGCAGTGGGGGATTTGTCTACAAACGAGGGCAGAGGGAGGCAGGTAACATGTTGTTTTCACTTCATTTTCTTCTCAGAATAAAGGCTTTCGGGAAAGGAGGAACTTTCTATGATGGGGCTGAAACAGCGGTAAGCTTCTTGTCGTCATACATGCTACCACTGGGATTTAAAAGAGACAAATAGGTGCTGCTGTTCTTACAGCCACTGCTGACATAAAGTCATACAAGAATACAAATTAAAAGGAAATACACAAAAATAGATTTTACGGTAAAACTTTACTTGACGCCTACCTCTATAACGCATTATAAATATATGTATAATGTGTTATTATCACGTTAAAACACTCATGAATGATCATAATGCTTTATAGCAGTAATCATAACTCATTATAAAGCATTTTATCATGACTTACAAGGTCAGGTATTATAATGTGTTATAACTTTTAACAACTCACTGACAATGCCCGCATAGATAATACATTATACATATATTTATGATGTGTTATAATTTGCTTATAAACTTGTATAACGATCATCATAAACACTCATTAATTATCATTAGGCTTTATAACAATAAGCATAACACGCTAAAATGCTTTATAATATGTTATGATTATAATGCTTTATAGCAATAATCATTTTTGAGTGTTTATAACTATAGTTATACAGTGTTATAATGTGATTCTATATCGCATTATAAATATATTCATAATGTGATATAGACATAGACGTCAAGTACAGTGTTTCCGAATTGACTTCAAAGAAAAGCATAAACCATGCATTTGTATTGAACATATATTTAGCATGCATTGATAATTGCATGTTCAAGTATGTTTATCCATGAGGTAACGATGTAGGAAGAGTTAACTATAATCAGTCTGAATATTTGTCTTTATTTTCTATATGAAAACATGGCAAAACTTCACCAGGTAAAGTGCCAGGTATCATCTGTTTACACTCAGGTAGAAAAGTATTACAGCATTATGGCAGTAGCTGCTCATTGGTGCGATTGCTCTGGCAGGGGAGGTAGGAGGCTTTGCCAAAGGTTAGACATACCATGTGATCAGCATTTTAGGCCAGTGATTTGTTATGTGATTCGCCATAATGCATAGTACAGCAGAGTCTGTCAATAAAGGTTGATAATGACACAGATAAAGGGTCGGGTTGGTTGTTGTTTTTTTGTATCAGATAAAAAGACCATGTTCAGTCTTTTACCAGGCAATAGCCTAACCCTTAGATTGTGTTTTTAAGCCCTACTACTACTACCAGCACCTCCCACATCCCTGCCAAGCCTGTGATGTAGGGCCTGATCCCTCTAAGTCCACCATTTGCTGGGGGTCAAAACAATAGGCAGCACACTGTAGGATAACATGGAAAGGCAGAGGTCACTGCTGGGGAATGGGAAGGATCCATTATGTCCCTGATATGGAGCACAGTGAGGCTTTGCAAACACACACGCCATGAACAATATACACATTCAGCCAGAGTCCAATTGAACATGTGAAGAATGAATTATTCCTGCCCATCTATGAAATCTGGGCTGTGTGTGGGCGTTTGCAGCTTGCCGCAGGCGTGCTTGTAAGTGTTAAAATGTGTATTTACGGATGAACGGATCAAATTGTGAGAGGGAAAAAAAAAGGGAAGAAACCAGCATTTGTGGCGTTTATAGGTAGTGTAGAGCTTTCTTTATTTAGAGTATAATGAAATTGATTGGGTTTAATTAGAGGGTCTAAAAGAAGGGATCTATGACAGGAACATGCTGGGTGTTGCTGTAGCATCGTTTAGTAACCTGGATTCCTGTATCCGGAGGGTTTTACAGGACAATGAACCTCTAAAGTTAAATAGAAATAGAGAAAATCGTCGTGGGAAACCAATTGTCGCTCACTGGTTTCAATGGCTTAAATGCATTTATTTATAAGCTAGCATTAGAATGAGGCATCACACCTAATTTCACAGTGAAATATTCATGAAGAGCTCCTGCATGTAGCATGTTTAATGTCAGCAGTGTATCTTCCTACTGTAAAACAGATAAAAGACATTCATCCTATACTGTACAAAGGGGAGTGAGGGAAACGCATGAGAGATGTTGCTGTGTTAAAAACTGAGAATTGAAAACGATAGTCTTCATTTTAATAATGTTTGCCTGGTAAAGGAGCCACAATTATTCAAGCCCATTTTGTCAACACATTATTTACTCTATAATGACTTTAAATGGCTTCATTTTGAACAACACACAGTGCAAAGAGGCAGTGTAAGGGTGAATGGAAGCAGAGAGAAAGATCTCCAGTTGTTATTGTCCTCGCCGGCAGATGCGTCCGTTTGCCAGGATGTAATTTGGGCCGATCCATCAGAGAGCAGTAATGAGGTCTAATGTTAGAGCCCACTGTGTCCTAATGACACCTCGGCTGTCCCATCGCCAAACCCACCCGTTCCAGCCGTGGACCCCTGCTGGGCTGCGGGCAGCTGGGACTTGACATCTGACCTTTTTTGTGACAGCCCCCTTCATCACACCCAAAACCACAGCAACGGCATGAACCCTGCAGGATGAGCTGGAATGAAGCGTGGAAGATATCTCAATTTGTCCAGAGGGTAAGAAGCCTAAGTTGAATTAATCGAACCAATATCTGCAAATAAAGTGAATAAGTAAAAAAAAAAAAATGTGCATCATAGATTATAAACCAGATTTGTGAATTTGGGTTTCCTGTTGTATCGTATCACGATACCGTATCATATCGTATTGTTTCATATTGTATCGTATTATATCATATTGTATTATATTGTATCATATCGTACTGCATGATATCGTATCGTTTCGTATTGTATTGAATCGTATTATATCATATTGTATTGAATCATATCATATTGTATTGTTTCGTATTGTGTGGTGAGGTATTGTATCATGACATATCTAATCAAAGCATATCTATATCTACTTATACTTTATCCCATCATAACTATTGGTTTCTTATTGTATTTTGTTGTACTGTGATGTATCGCATTAGTTTGTATCATATCACACATCATGTTATATTGTATTGGATTGTTTCAGATTGTATAAAATATTACACAAAATCCTCTTATATCTAATCTTATCCTTTCTTGCTGTACTATGTATAATTTCCAATATTATTGTATTATATTGAAGAATATCATATGGTGAATCATATAATGTTTCACACCCTACTGTATCTTATCATATTGTATTGATCATATTAAATTCCTTTGCATCGTATCGTGATGTAACGTTGCGTAACGTAAGATAGCGTAACGTTACGCAACTTAGTGTTTGTATTGCATCATAACTTACTGTATAATAATGAATCTTATAGTAACATATCATAACATACAGTTACTATCATATTTTATATTGTTTTGTAACAAATCATATCGTAAACTATTATATCATATTGTCTTGTAACATTTGGTTTTGCATCGTACCACATTGTCACATATCATTTCTGTCTCATATCATCCTATCCTATTTCATCTATTTATAGGATATCGGACCATACTGTATCATGCTGTGCCGTAACATGTTGTATCTTGTTTTGTCACATCCTGTCACTTATTTTTTGACCTGTCATGTAAGTGTAGAGTGTAGAGAAAATATCATGTAAAGGACCTCATCGTTCACACTGTGCTGTGGTCTTATTCTGATATGGATTTGAACTGCTGTCATGCCCTTATTAATACAAGTCCATACCTTACTGTAGCTGTATTGTTTTCCTATTTACATCTCTGCTTTGTAGTTGTCAACACACTGTGTACATCATCATGTTATCATAGTCCCGTCCAAGAATAACATCCTTTGACTGGTTTGAAAAGCATTCATTTAGTTATTCTTATTATTTCTCCAGTCCAGAGAGTGATGAGCTGTTCTGGTAAAGAGTTCAAAGGCCTTAACAAGCTCTGAACCGTGGTCAAAAAACAAATTTTAATATGTATTTTTCCCTGTTTTAGTTGTGTTTAATTATTTCCGATTTTGCAAATAGGTTAATTAAATGTGTTAGGAATTAGAAAAAAAAGACTAACTCGACCCATTATTTACATATTTTTAGACAGGGGTGGCAGAGGGATCCAAAGCGGTTCAGCCTTTACACAGCAGCTTTACCAATGGCGTTCTAGGCAACATTATTATGTTTCCAAATCTGTAACACAGTTACTGCGCCTAATTAAGCTTTAATTACCAGGAACGGAAACAGAAGAAAAACATGACAGACTTTGAAAGTGAACGCTTTACACATTTGTTAAAAATAAACTCTCATTTAGTTGATTACAAAAACGCAACTCTGGCATGAGAAGAAAGAAAGTGGTCGTGATTTGGAGTAATTTGCAGAGGATGAAGTTGAGAGTTAAATTACAGCAGTGACTTAAGTGGACTAAATGATGATGCTGATGGAGGATTGTTGTCAATGTACTGATGCAAACATGCAAACCTTCCATCTTTGATCAAGAGAGAGAAAAATAAAGAAGAATTCACAAAGTTTAAGACTGAAACCTTGAGGAGATGGAGATGATACAGCTTTGAGACAATGGGAGAGAAAGCATTTTTCTCACACTGACGGCATTTTTGAGGGATTTTTTTTTTGTTTTGGAAAGAAGACAAAAAAAACAAGAAGAAAAAAAACATAAAATGTGGTTGAAATTTGCAGGTCTGAGGTTAAATCCATGGAGTCTTCTTGCAAATTTGAGCATTTGAGACGAGTAAAAGCAGCAGCTAGCCGAGACCTGGCACCCTGCTAAATGCAAGGCTGAGCTCATTAGGACTGGCCCAACATCACACACACACACACACGCACACGCACACACACACACACACACACACACACACACCAATCTGTCAGTGTTTTCACATTAAACAAGCAGACACACACATAAAAAAACGGCAAGAGGATAGAGACAATGCAAGGAGAGAAACCGAAAAATGAGGCGAGCAGGGTGGTGGTGGAGGTGGCTGTGGTGGTGGGGGGATTGGCAAACCAGCAAGGATCACACAGGAGTGGTGAAGGAGCGATAGAGAGAATGACAGACAGAGATCGAGCGAAAGACGGAGAGAAAGATACAGACAGAGAGAGATGGAAACAATGAGGGGAGAGACAAAGCAGGTGGCCTGGGTAATTGCCTGGGGAATATAATGAATGAGCCACAGTGCGTCTGACGGAATAGGAAATCGTCTCTATCTCCTCATTCCCCTCGCTCTCTCCTTCTCCCTCTCATTATCTCTCGCCCTCTCTCTCATTCCACTCCTCCCCTTATCCATCTTCCACGCACCCTTTTAAACATATCTCCTAACCCTATCTTTCTTTCTCGCAGATTGCCAGCGTTTTCTTTCTCTCAGCCGCGGAGCTTTTACCACCTTTTCTTTCCTCTCAACTCCACTCCCCGCTAGTTTTCTGTTCCCACCTTTTTTTAAACATCAAACTTCCACCTCCGCTAGCCTCCCCGAGCGCCCGGATGGCTGCATCTATTCTGGCGATTCTATATTTCTGTGGGATAGCGCAAAATTTGGAACATCCTGGGCTTTGAATGTTCTACATGCTGTACACATCGATTTGTGCTTTGTCCAAAATGTGAAATAGTGTTGCCATTTTTTTCTTTTTTTTCTGGTTCAGGGCGCCATTCTTAAAGAGAGCAGAAATCTGAGTGTGAAATTCGCTGAGCAGCATCCATCTGGACCGGTCAGCAAGTTATGGAACCGGTTTTAAAGATAGCAGAACTCTTGGATTGAAAGCTCAAAAACAGAGAAAGTTTGTGAGACCTGTTTTTCAATCAGGGACAGGATAGCAGACTGGAGTTTGCGGGTTTCCTTTGGAACTTTAAGGTGAAAAGAAAGTCTGGTCATGGATTGGATTCCTCCGTAAGATGGCAAGGAGGGTGTGGTTATCATCGTCATGAGTCCCAGTGAAGATGCTCTGGGCACCTAATAAGACTGTTTGATGCAGGTACGCTGACTCTTGGCGATTCTCCCGTCGAATGCGTACAATGCTACTGCACAGGTGGTGGAGTCGACAGCGCTACTCTAATGTTGGTAATTTAACAACAATCCTGAATCAACAGACCTCAATCTCAAAAAGCAAAAGAACTTCTTTGATAGAGTAAAATAAATCATTGTCCATCACAAGTGTTTTGAGTACCGTGTTACCAAGTTACACAAAATAACTAGTTGCAAGAAAGTAATGACCCGCCAGATAAACTATTAAGTAAGTCGCATGAAAGCCTGCAGCTGTAATGAAAAGTTACCAATCACCTCGCTATTAAGATTACTCGGGTGACAAATTTACTGCAGACGGACTTTACTGCGATGTACTACATTTCATGAATGATTGACAAACTGATCAGACAGCTAAGCTACATTCAGTACATTAATAACCTCTAATGTAGAAGCTACATCAAGAGCGTCTAAGTTTGCTCTTGTATGAGTAAAATACCATGTTATGCATTGTTTTTAAGTGCTATTGCCAACAATGGCTAAACATTACAACAGTAGGCGCTGTTTTCTGACTTGTTTACCGGTATTGTGTCAGCAGCCTACGACACAGCCAGCAAATAACAAAGCATGATGACATAGCAGGAATTGAGTGGTGTCTCATTTCTTAGGGCGTTTTCACCTCTTTACCTTGGCCCTCAAAACAAGAGGTAGACAAAGGGGTAAGATGAAAGGGAAAGGTAAAGAGTGACAATTGGGATTGGCCCTTAGTCCCTCATAAAGCCCATGTCCTGGTAATTGTAAGGGCTCTGGCTACAGATAAAATACCACTCTTTATTTGAGGATTGATGGTACTTATTTTCAGTAAGGTGCCCAACACTGTGCATTGCCACTAACCAATGACTTTGAGTGTACTGAAATAAAACCAAAAACACTCCTAACAAAGCAGTTAAAATACAGCTTGGTGAAGACATTTGTTCTGACTAACAGAGTCTCTACATTTCTCTGCCTCTTGCATTTTGAGAAACAATGGACAGAAAAAGAAGAAAATTGCGAAATAATTTAGGTAGAAGCTCCCTGAGTTCCTTCCCCACAAAGCGTCAAGGCCAAATCACTTATTGGGTTGTTAAAGAAAGCATTTTATTGTAAAAGTTTATGAAATCATTATTACAGGGTGGTAAAAGCAGCTCTGCGCTCTGCTGTGGCAGTATTTCAAGCTGCAGCTTAATATGCAATTTCTTATTGTGTCTCTGCTCAATAAAACTGTGTGTTTCTTGGTGTGCATAAACCCTTCAACTTCACTGGCATGGCAGTGTATAGCAGCCTGTTCATTATGTATTTATTCAGACTGAGAGCCTTAGTGTGCATTCATGTTTTGTGCATGCGCTCATGTTTTGATTGATAGATACTGAGCCGCAGAGATTCAGATCCATTCAAATTTGCCTTTACCGTGTTTACCTGGCGCTATTCTGTACTGGCTTTTGCCCATAAACACTAACACACACACTAACACATCCAAATGTCATAAAAAAGGACATAAAACAGGCCACAGTTTGCTTGTACTTCATGAAAACTCATCATCACTGCCACTCAAATCAGCGTGTCCTCCCCTTTCCGTATGACCACAGAGTTTCCTTCCAAACCGCAACTGCTGCCTACGCATGGGCCAACTTGCTGAGTGAATAACAGGCTGCTAAAGCATTCAATCTGACTGCTAACCACAGCGCTAACACATACGCTGCGCTGCAATCAAAACCACAACAGGCTATTACCCCTGCTGCCAACCTTCGCTGGTTTTACGCTCTGGATAGGTACAGTTCGGCTGGAAATCCTGAGTCTTAAAAGTGTGAGGCAGTGCCGTACTCAGGCTGTTGGAGGAGCAGGGGCCAAAAATCTTGAAGGGGTTTCTCCTGTATGCCAGATCCACATCTGAAGATCAATTTGTAATCTCAAGGTGGATGCACAGCAGAATCCATTCAAGCTCATGAAAGCACCAGGGTGGGGACAATCACCCCCTGCCTGGTCCCTTCCTCTTGTGTGGCGGTTATCCACATGGTCTCTGAGTTTATATTTTCTTCGCCTCTTGGTGCAAAACTTTAAATTCTGTAAATTTAAAATCCCCTCTCTCGTGTCCCCTTTTTTCATCATGTTTTTTTTGTAATACATATATCATAGTTTTAAGCTTTAAAAGTACTTCCTATGGCTTGAGAGCCCTGGTGTTCATCAACCCAGTGGCACACTTTTCCCACCAACCCCCCATCTGATCCCTGTCTTTGAAGAGAGAAGAACGCCAGTGTGATTGAAATCCTCTCCTTTATTTATCCCCTCTTCACACGTTTCCCTCTGATTGAATGTGTTTTATCTATCCGTGCAGGGGGGGAAGGGTAGAGCAACAAGAAGGGAAGGATGATGGGGAGGGTGACGGGAAGGTTCTGCTGCACGAGTCACCATGATGAAAAGGGTCTTTCACTCTTTAACTCTCCCCGTCTTTTCCTCTTTTCAGCCGTTTGAGGCATCTCATCAAACGGGCCTGAATAGTAGACGTGACACTATCTGTCTTTCCACCACCACCTCCTTCCTTCTCGGTATCTCCCCCACGTATCCATCCAGCCTTTCCTTCCTCCCTATCTGGCTTGACTCCGTCCTCTATCTACCTGCGACCACCGGCACCCGTCCACCCATTCACTCGCTCACAATGCCGCTCGGTGACCGCTGACAGCAGATCACACGGAGGAAATCAGAGCTCAAGTTCGAGCTGGATTGCAGACATTCAGACGTTGGTTCTATTTCCTGTATACTCTCTATCAGCAGGGATGTGTTAAGGCCACTCTATTAAAGATGCTTCCCTTCATGTTGATGGAAAACTACAACAGGTAATAGGTTAGAGACGGGAAAGCTGTGAGGATGAAATATCCTCGTCCTCGCCAAAACCACATCACTCATGTAAACACCTATCAGAGAGCGTTTGAGAAATATTGACAGACATTCCTCTTTAATTGGTTTGTGCCAACACAGTTAGCCAAAAACTAAAATCATTCATTTTTGAACAGACATTGAGCTTTCCCAGATTCCCAATGCTGGCAGGCTTACAAGTCCATGAAAACAAGCAAATAACCAATCACAAAACAATGGAGATCAACTGAAACATGATTTTTCATCAACTGATTGCAGTCCTCAACTCTGCAAGAGATCGAAGATTTTTTAACCCTCAGAGTTGTTGGAGATGTTTCTCATCAAAAAGAAACTGCAGATCTTCAAAGAGACTTAACACAACTCACCTACTCTTTTCCAGCAGCCGCTTGATTGTGGCGAGACCATGACCAGTCCATCGTCGACTGAGGCGGGGGGGCACAGCTCATGGAAGAATATTTATGATCATCACTATCATTTCCTTGAAGTAATAATCACCATATTGATCATTTTGCTCTGCAGACGCGGTAGTTCTTTTGTCTTAGCGTCTCGGTCTGATTGCATTTCCATGAAGAAATGATCGTAAATGTTCTTCCTTGCGCTGTTAAACAAACAAATGGCTGCTGGATGAGAGTAGGTGGGTTGTGTTGAGTCTTTTTGCTAAGGAAATCAGGCAAAGTTAAAAAGATGTTTGATTGCTAGTGCTGTGGCTGGGACCCTATATGTACTGTTGTTGAAGTTAGCTGCTGTTCTGAGCATTATTTGTGGCTATAGAGTGGCGTTTTGGTTTAGGTTCGTATGTGGCTCCTGAGACCCCTGTGTGTCGCTATCATGGGTCGTTACTAAAGTTAGTATAACTAGAGAAGCAAGCGGTCAGCAACATTCATCTCTCGACGGGCTGTCTAACTCGGCGTTACGATGTGTTTGACCCTAAATTAATTTTACCCTGGAATATCCCTTTAACAGACTTGATGTGCTAGCTAATCAAAAGAATTTAATTTTCTTTAAATCAATCCGGGTACTTTGCTCTTACACTGTGGCCCTGCCCCCCTTTAGGCTGAAAGCAGTCATCTGAACTCACTGGTGGTAAATCAAAACCCCTGGGTCTTTGGCAGTATAATACCATAAAAACATATGGAAACCCTATTGTTTACTGGCTTCTGAGAGACCAGATCTGACAAAGTCAACAAATTGGGGTCATTTGATGGAAGCAGACAAAGAGGACACTCACAGAAATCAATCTTGCAATCTTGGAAATGATGTTTGACTGCTTTCATCTCATTTAGACGGGTCTCTCTGACGTCACCCATTTGTTTCTGAAGAAGAGCTTTGAAGCCTCTCAATTGTGGTCGCTATGTTGGAAAAGTACACCTACTTTTCAATCAACCTGGCATGAGGTAGAGGTGGAGTCGCTGTGTCCCTTTAGCCACAATTCCTTCCAAAATTTCTACACACAGAATAACAGCACCTTCTCAAAATCGGCATGTAGATAACAACCTTGTCCGCTGTAGCTGTAGAGTAATTCACATTCACCAAACTCTGTGAATCAGGGCTGACAAAGGGGGCCAGAAAAGGGGCCACAATGCTACCGCCACAAGAGCTATTCCAAAGCATGGGACTCTTAGATAGAAGTACACAAAACTATTGAATAGGCAATAGGATACTTAGAGCCTCTCTCTGCCGTTCTTATGACCCTTCCCTCCTTGATAAAATGTGATTCTCCAGAGCAGAGTGGGTACAAACAGCCCTCATACTGGGGCACAAACTAATCATTAGCAAATGGAAAGTGCTATCAGCTCTCGGAGTAAATGTGTGGCACAGCCAGCTGGGCACAATAGAAGCCTCAAATAGCCTGTCATTCTGCTTGATGACTGGGGTAGAGAGCTGTTTTTGAACAAAGGGCAGGAGTTTCATATCAGGGGAGCAGATTAAATGGAGACAAGTTGAATGTGAAACAGAGGCAGCTATAGGACCTGAACACAGCTATAGAAATATTTCAGTTCAAGTTCAGAAGTACAACCGCTTCAAAAAGTCTTTTTTTACAACACAACAGAAGTTTGTAAGTGCATGAGATCTGATGTATGTCTTTTTCTCCTGACATCAAACTCTAATCAACTCAAATGGGGCTCTACCTGGGCATAGACTGAAAGTGGGCTATTGGGGGGTAGATGTTGAGCAACCCAGGAATATGCATAGGCCAGGAATAGGTGCAACCTTAAGATTTTTCCATGGGTCCTTGGGCTGCACTCAGCCCTCTTTCAAGGCATCTAATTGAGACTCATTTGGTCTACCTGGGTCAGGCAGGCGTGGATACAAGTGAACTTCAATTCAGTTAGTACTTGGGTCTGCATTGGTCAGCATGTGTAACCACTTTTAGTGATATAAAATTGAATTACAGTATAATAACAACTTGGATTAATAACTAGACACTGGCCTGAATCAGAAGACACCCAATTCGTAATGAATCAATGTGTTGAGCAGCAACAATAAGTCAGGTACTAGACTAACTGTTGAGTAGCCACTCTTGTAATTTTACAGTGAATAAGGAAAATGTTAAACTTGTACAAAACATACATGAATGACCCAAATAACCAGAAATAAAAGGATACAGTCTGCACACTTAAAAATAATAGTGTCTGTTGGGGCCCTTATAAAATAAAAGTCGTTGCAGGTGCACCTGATTTTAAAGGTCCATGGAATGTAGTGTGAATGTATGTGTGTGAGTGTGTATCTACTTTATGATGAGTCCTCCTCAAGGTGGTTAGCTCACCATCTGTCACAACTGGAACCTTGTCCTGGTCCTCGGATTTTCCTCGTCCCCACAAAGAACCTGACCTACACACAAGGTCATATAATTTACATTTTATTCTCAGATGCATCATTGAAGGTTTAAATGTCAAAAATCAATATGTTGCATCAAACCTCATATGTTGATCATTAATATTACCAAATTATGAAGCTTCAGTTATTAGTTGTACAACATTCAATGTTGAAGTGTATCAAATATGAGAACTAAATGTTTAAGTGCTCACATATTTATCTTTTCATGTGAACTGTACATCAATAATATTTACAGTAAGGAACCATTTACATTCAAAACATCTATAACATAACCAAATCAAAATAATGTGCAAATTACATAGAAAATACACATACTTAACTTGTCTTAGAGGTATCAAAGAAGCATGCTTAAAGGGATATTCTGGTGTAAAATTAATTTAGGGTCAAACACACCATAACACCAAGGTAGACACTCCCTCAAGAGATGAATGTTATTGACCGCTTGCTTCTCTATTTATACCAACTTAAGCAATGACCACAGAACAGCGATACACAGCAGTCTGAGGAGCAGTTATGATCACTTCTTCATGAAAATGCAATCAGACTGAGATGTGAAGGCAGAAGAACTACCGTGTCTGCAGTGCAAAATGATTAACATGATGATTATTACTTAAAGGAAATGATACAGTAATGATCATAAATGTTCTTCCCTAAGCTGCGTCACCCTGCAGCAGACCATAATGGTCTGGCCTGAGGTCTCACTACAAACCAGCAACTGCTAGAAAAGAGTAGGTGAGTTCTGTTTAGTCTCTTTGCTAAAGAAATTAAAATTTAAAATTTAAAATTAAAAAGATATTCGGTGGCTAGTGCTATGGCTAGGACTCTATTTGTACTGTTGATGAAGTTCGGTGCTGTTCTGAGCATTATTTGTGGCTATAGAGTGGCTTTTAGGTTAAGCGTGTGGCTCTTTGTATTGCTATCATGCAGTTGTTACTAAAGTTGGTATTAGAGAAGCAAGCAGTCAGCAACATTCATCTCTTGACAGGGTGTCTAACTCTGTGTTACAGTGTGTTTAATCCTAAAATAATTTTACACCGGATTATCCCTTTAATTACTCCAACACTAAAGGCTGTGTAATGCTAGAGAAACTGCACCAAAAAATTTCTCTAAGTAAGATAAATTCTTTCAGTAGTTTGCACATCATAAAATAAGATTTTATTTTACACTCATCATATGAATTATCAAATGACTGTTTTCCCTTTAAATTGGCACTGGGAAAATGAACAAAACCTCCATTTTACATTCATACCTCAACATAAAACAATAGACACAATACACACACGTTCAAAATATTGCTCCATTATTCACTTTAGTTCACTCTCATATTCTTTTATATCACCACTGCTCTCTTTCAGTACTTTGAGAAATAACAGATATAGCATCAGAGCAGCTTAAGCGACATGTTTCTCACCTGTTGCTCTGTATTTCAAAGCCGAGCCCGCCGATGTCGGAGCTGCAGCGGCTCTCCTCGTGGAGGTAAGTGGTTAGCCTGTTAGATCGGGAGCTAGCATTAGCATGGACGACAAAAGGTTAAGTGCTAATAAACTTTTTTTTTTTCTCCAGATAAACAACTCGTCTTACCGACGTGACTCCTCTCCTTAGTGAAGTCACTTGGCTCCAGACTTCCAGCGGGTAAGGGCGCTGGCTTTCTTTTCCTCTTTCCACGGCTTAATTCGGGTTTTTCTCCTTATTTTCTCCGTCTGCTAAGCAGTTAGCCGCCATCACTCCCATGGCTGTTGAGGGCTCGTGAACTGAGCGGTGCATTCAAATGCAATAGGAGATTTTAAACTTCACCAAAGTAACAAGTAAAAATAAGAAAATAAATACGCTCCCTTCTTTCTCTCATCGAATTGTGCTCATTTTACATCTGGGCTACACATGATCATTTGAATAGACGACAAAGCAGTAAAACGCTTAGACAGAAAACATGGTTGAAGCATGGGACCAAAGTGGGTTGGATATACTCAAAAGGCTGTCTAACTGCCAAATTGCAATACTGTGAGATGGTGCATGCTAACAGGACTTGTTTGTTGATTTGTAAAACAGTAAGCAATAGTATGGTGGCCGAGAACTGCCACTGCTGCAAATAAAAAAAGGATGCAAAAAAAAAGAAGCCACGAAAGAAGTTACTGATGAAAAAAAAAAAAAAACCTGCTGCAAATAATAATAATAAAAAAAAAGGAAATAGGAACGGTGCAGATTTTTTATTTAAAAAAAAAAGGCACAACAGAAGTTAATAACAAAAAAAAGGGGTGATGCAAAAAAAAAAAAGTTACTGCGAAAATAAAAGTATGCAAATAAAAGAAAAAAAAAAACACAATGGAAGTGAGCTGCCGGGGACCAATAATGAAAAAAAGTGAGGGGTCTGTGTACTTATTTCTATGAGTAAAGCAACTGAACTCCATTCTCCTCTCTTGGGTGGTCTTTTGGGGCGTAGTGAGTTTTTTGTGAACACGGCCAAAGCGGAGTTAAACAATAACCTTTCCACTTACTTCTTTGCTCGTCTTCTTGCCATCATCCTCTGTGGCTAGATCATAAAACACTGGTATCATCGTTATTGGACCCCAGCAGCTCACTTGCGATGTGGCTTTTTTTATTTGCATTCTCTTATTTTTGCAGTAAGTAACCTTTTTTTTTTTTTTTTTTTTCATTTTCACTTATTTTTTTGCATCTTTAACATCTGTTGTGTTTCTTTTATTTTTTATCTGCACCATTTCTTTTTTAAGTGTAAAGAAATGGTGCAGATGAAAAAAAAAAAAAACATTATTTATTTTTATTTGCAGCAGTGGTGGTTCTTGGCCACCGTACAATGGAGCACAAAACTACAGACAAAGAGTATCTCAGTAAGTCCTGGTTATTGATAATCAAAATATGGCCACCCTTCACCAAGGTGCAGCCCATTTGGGACCCCATTTAAACCCTATTGAAATAGAGTACAGAAAGGCTGAGCCCCAATCAGGAGTCCCATTCAGAAACAGAAAGTAAACTGAGTTACTGAATAGGTTTAAAGTGGTTTAAAGTCTATTCTAATGGGCCCCGTTTAGAACCCATAAAGAGTCTATTTCTAGGCCAATCTGGGAAGTGAGAAAAGAAGTGTATGGCTGTGAATAGGCATCCTAAAAATAGTCGTTCTGTACCTGTGGTAATAGTTGAGCTTGACATTCACTTCCACACAGTCTTGTGTTAAAGAGATAGAGACAGCTTGTATCAAGCCCTACAAGATCACACAGTCTTGGTAGATTATGGTCTTACAAATACTATTTCAGGTATTTTATTCAGAGGGATAGTGACTAAAATAGGAAGTTACAGCTGACTTTGTAGTACAAGGACAAAAGTAAGAATGAATTTTCTGGCTGCTTTCATTTTTGTGTGACTGGAATTCAACTCATGTTACAAGGTCGTCCTTATCATGCCTAAAACTAAAACAAATATATAATACTGTTTAGTCATCTTCTTTTGATGGTGTCTGGTTTTATGTATCTGTTAAGTAGTAAAACACACTCTACAGAAAATAAATCGACCAGAAATTTCTAATTAGTACATTCATGAAGACATTTGTCAAGCCAATTGTTCATGCCTTGAAATAATCAGCTTTGAATAGCCACTTTGTTAAGAGTCACCCATTCATCCTTGCACAGTGCAAAGTTCTGTATGCTTGAATGTATTTGCTGCTCACAATGTCAAAAAGGTGATGCTGTGCACAGAAATTAACCCCCTGCAGAAATAGCAACCAATTTACAGCAAACCAGTGTGCTTTGTGTATTACTTACTCTGCTGCAGGTTGCGCAAGATTTCGTCAGGTGCCCGCGCCAAACGAGGCATGCATGATTGCACCACTTGTTGAAAATGTAGACTCTACTCCTCAATTTACTTGCTGCAGATGGAAGCCATATACCTGTCCTGCAACCCCCAGATAGTTAGAGGGATTTAATTATCTGGAAGGAAGCTGGAATAGCTCTGCAGCACCTGTCTGCTGGCGGTGCCTTTCCTCCTGATTCTATACAGAGAAGTGCAAAATTATCCTACACTCACAGTGTTGCAAACGCCTCGTGAAAATAATATGATTTTATGCACAAAACTCTACAACTTTTTATTTTATTTTAAGATGACCTCCTCAACTTTTTAATCCATTTGTTAACACTCATTGTTGGGTGTGCAGAGAACAAGAAGGCTTTGATCTGCAGGCTGTAGAGAGTCTTTTGTGAATTCAGCGCTTGTCTCCATCGGCAGCCTCAACATACTGTAAATGGTGTTAGAAACTAAGGTGAAGAAAATCAATAAATTCAACGGATTACAAGGCAGTACATAGAGGAGGGCCATGTGGGGAGAATTCCACTATCTCTGGCCTGTTAATGACTGCCTGCCCCTTTGAATTACAAAAGTGGAGACAGGGTGAGGAGTGCAGGAGAGTTTCTCTACTTCTTCTTGGCAGAGTGATTACACCTGAGTGTCAACAAGGACCAAATCAATCAATCAGGGTGTTTATGTGTCTTTTACAAATGCAAAAACTGAAAAACATTGACGCAACAGGAGATTTCCAGGATATAACTGTCTTGTTATCTATCTAATAGGGAAAGGTTGAACAAATGTTTGGTGCCAAACAACTTGGTTGAAGTAAAAGCTAAAGTCGTAGTGCACTTATAGTATAAGTGCACCAGTTATGTCATTTAAGATGTACATGTTGTGTCAAAGTTTTGTTGAAGGATGCCATAGGTCGGATCTATTACGCAGATCTGTATTTCCATCTGCATGCCTTCCATCGGTTTTATGTGCACACATTAAAAGCCAAGGCAGGGAGCAGTAATGATCCCCAGGGAACTGAGCAGAGTGACAAACCATATGACACTGAAAAAAACACACTGTAGGCAGGTGTTATCGGCTGGTTTCTAATTGTCCTTCACTTTCTTCCCTTTAGATTTGTACTTCTTCACTGAACTAATGTAACTTACTGAAGGTTTATATTTAACTCACAGATTGTCTTCATTTAATCAGAACAGTGTGACATTTAGCTGAATAAGAAGCAACTTGATGAACCACAAGGCTCTCTTTATTCTACCAGACAGGTCTGCTACAGTAGATACAGGCCTCAAGAAGAAGAAAAAGAAAAAGAAGGACAACAACAACAAGAGGAACAAGAACTTTATTAATCCCAGATAGGAATTTCAAGGTCATTACACACACATAGCTCATTTTCACACTTTGTTGGGTTTAAGTCCAACCCCTGTCCAAGAAGATAAATGTGAATTACACCTGGGAATTGGCGCTGCTTGTGATGGAGATCCTCTGATCTTTGTCATCTCGAGTCCAGCACTCTCTATTACTCTCCCTGTGACCATAATAAAAGGTTTATCTAAGACCTGAAGACTTCTCTGGTTGTCCTTGAGCAGTCCACTAAAAAACTGATTCTTACATTTCACTTTATGTCTTCTTAGCAAAGCTTGACTTTGAGACCTGCCTGAACTAACTCTATGATAAATTCAACAAACTATACAAAAAGTTACCAAATCTAAAGTTGGAGTTACACAAGATCTCTACAATGTGACCACAAAACATTGAACATCCCCTAACTGGTTTTGTTACCCGCCTCTGTTTTCTGGTTCGATCCTGTTTAACTATCCAGAGCTTCTCACTCTCTGATGCACATAAGCATTTCCTGAGCTTTGTTGTACCTGGCTGTGGGCTCCGCTCATTACACACAGGCCTTTTTAATCCCAGCGCTCTGTGGGTGAATCAGAGAGGACGGCTCAGGATGTGCAGGGGTGGAGCCAGCCAGGCAGAGTGCAGATAATCAAACACTGTGTCTTCACGCCTCGCTGTGGCTCCTCTTATTAGAATACTGTAATAGCACTTCTAATGAGCTGCTCTTTACTGTTGACTGATAATGCTAAGACGATGTGTACACAGCACACAGAGACAGAATTACATTTAAGACCCTGGATGAGTGTGATGAAGTGTTTGATATGAGCTGTGTGTGTTATGTGTGTGCTTTGTTGTGTGCTCAAGATTTGGCCTTGGTACTGTGTGTGCACACAGCGTTCAGCAGTTCAAACACTCTCTTTCCAATCAGAGAAGGGCGACAAATACAAAATAAAAAGTCTGAATTTCAAGCAACGAGTCTTCGGCCCAAGTTTGAGAGATAAACACGCGGAGCAGACATCACAGCGATGTGACGAGACACACAGTGGGCAGTGAACAAATTCGCTTTTACAAAGTTTTTCCCCGAAGCACATCAAACTTCTATCTGGAAAACTCTGCAGTTGTTTTCCCGCCATGATACAAACACATCGTCGCGGCTGAGCCCTATCCATTTATAATGTGATTTCTTTGATGGACTAGCTGTGGGGTGGGGAGACATGCAGAAGTCTGCAGCTACGGGGGGCGAACAAAATAACAACACCGTCTTACAATTTAATGCATTTCAATGCAATCCCCCTGCAATAAATTCTACCTTTGTGAGACTGATATTGTTCAGTTTATGTTCAGGAGACAAAACTCTCTGTGGACACAATTTATGACACGTGCACCATGAGGTGAGGCTATCTTTTATGAAGCATCCTTTATTTCTTAAGAGATAGTGTATTTTAAATGTGTGGTTATACAAATTCACATTGAATGGAAGTCCTGCATTGAAGCTAATGTCAGCAAAGGTAATCTGCTCTGCAGGAAAATTGTCCTCTTGCTTATGGAGCTTTGCAGTTTAGACACCTTAAAGAAGTTTGGACAGTACTGCTACTTTCACTGTAATTTAAGCAGAAATACACGCAAACACTCTGCTGTTGTTACACGGATTGCAGGACATGATGTTGTGCTCCACTTTTCCCTAAATATCCACATATGAGCGACCTTTTTGTTTAGAATTTATTACTCTGTTGGAAGTTTCTTGGAAAAAAAGAAACTGGATTCAGTGTGTAATGGTAACAAATCTGTGCTGTCTTGTTCTGACACCAAAACTACTTAAAATTCTAATTGTTTCACACAGAATACCACCAATTAGACCAAACATTTAAACTTTAATCACCAACACAATGCCGGGCATGTTAAAGCAAAACACAATTACAGCAACACCAGCTAAAAAAATCCAAACATATTTGACTGAAGAAAGTCTGTGATAAATGCGCAGAGAGTCTTTGATTTGTCATCTAGTTAGAAATGATCTCAGGTCAGAATTCACTGGCAGCACTTTTTTACTTATTCAGTTAATTAATCATCACTTTGACCTTGTGGTGCGTAGAATTCTGGGAGCTTAAATGCAGTATTTTTGTTTGCTTTTTTTTCTTTTTTACATTTCCTACTACATTGTTTGCAGACCAGCCCCCCCTCGCCCCTCTAAGTTGTGCAGATGAAGATAGCAAGGTGACAGGGTGGCCGGGGAGCGAGGCAGGAGGTTGAGATGGAGATCAGGTTTTTATAAATCTCATTTCTGCTGCTGATTTATCAGCTCGCCCCGGTCCCTGTCAGCCACACACACATGTGACCGGCATGGCAAAAGGCTAACTCATTAGTCTGCCTCATCACAGTGGGAGGTTTTGCAAAGCGAGCGCACACATGCACGTAACACACACATACACAGTTTTCCTTTCGTCTCATCCTCTTTCTTTCCGCACCTATTTCCTTCTTTTCCTTTTTCCAATCAGTCTCTTTCGCCACTGCTCTACCTTTCTTCATTTCATCCCCTTTCTTCTTCTTTCTGCGAGTCCGAGTGCTGGCCTCTCCATCCAGGATTTAATTAAAGCAGTTTAAATGGCCAGGGGTGATCCTCATCATGTCATCCCCTTCCCTTTCTGTCTTCCTCTGGAGGTTAATATCAGACTAATCCACTCTTACCCCCCCTAAGCCCTTCCTCAATAATGCAAGGCTCCTCTCCGGCCACCTAGAGTGGCTGCCTGGAGCTTACAGGACTCACATTCATACTGCCAATGACAGACACGCCCTTATCTCTGTCTGTTTGCGGTGGATAAACTGCAGCATGTTGTTGTGTTGACATGGGGCAGTTCTCTCGAGGGGATTTGGTTTTTCAGGTGTAGATGAGACATTAAATGAATCAAATAAAAGAAGGGCTATTTGAACTGAGATCCATTGAAAGGCAAAGCTTTATTTAAGCAGAAACAGCTGTTACAATATCTCTTCAAAGCCAGCAGGCTGCTTTGAGAAAAACTGCATTTTTACCCAGCAGAACATGGGAGCTGCCAGTCTTGATCTGTGCAATTTTGTACCACTATCTGAACTAAGACTGAACGACTTATTGTGTCGACTGTGATGTGTGCACGCTCATTAATCACATCGCATGGCGTGCAATGCTTGTCACATAACCTGAGACATGTTTTGCTGTTACCACTTCCTTGTTAGCCTGGATAAATAGTCATGTTTAATGAAGGACACCGTAAACACAAGCTTTTAGTTTGGGGGTGTGGCCGGCAGGTGGGCGGGCAAGAGACGGAATGCTCTAGGCTTCAGATGTCAGACAAGATGATTGACAGCACGCCACTTCAACATGCAAGGGACAAGTGATGTCATATCACATTGTCCACAGGGGGGCGCCAAAAGTAACACAAACTAAAATTCGCTAACAGTAGCTTTAATGTCAAGGCAGCTATAGACTAGGGACTCTGCAGGACTGTTTTGGTTAGAGAAGAAAACAATGAAACGAAGTGACATGGACGACCAGCATGAGACCCAAGAATAAACCATAGACTGTGTATAGAATGGACGCCATTGTAAGACTGGTTTGTGCTCAAGTCCTCTTTTTTTCTGGGCAGTTTTTAAAAGTTTTTAGGGGGTTCATGTTTTCTATGATTGACACCTGATACAGCCTATGGGGGTACAGGGATTGCGTAGCTCACCCGGGGGATACACTGTTTGAGCCAAGCGCCATCACAGCGACTCTTGGCGACTCTCCAGCCAACTGTGCACAATGCTACTATGCAAGTGGTGGAGTGCGTACAGCGCCACTGCGCAATGTTGGCTTCAGGAAATGGAGAGAAAACACGGAATTACCGAGAGCTTTTTGGCTTCAAATCTGGTGGAAGGCTGAACCAAGTTGTCCATAGCATATACAGTCTATGGAATAAACACAATTGCTAAAGGTTAAATAGCAGCTACAGTTCGTCAAAAACTCAATCTGTATAACTAAATTTTGTCTTATTTCTAGTATGTAGGCTTGATTCAAGCCACATACACCAACAAGCAGCAGACATTTTGACTCATAACAAGCAATTCAGTTCTTGTTTTTGACATGAAATATCTCAAAAAATAAGATATTTATGGAATTTCTAGGTGAATGTGGTTTGAACTGAGCCTAAAAAGATGCTTTCCACTGGAAGTAAGGAAAAAGTTGAGTTTTTTCACAGCATGCATTTTGCTTTCTGGCCCTTTTGTTTTTCTTGCTTCCCTCATAATGGTTAAAAGCAAGCGATCTCTCTCAGCATAAAGAAATGAAGCAAATGCAGAAGAACAAAAATGTTAGGATAGTGTTTTTTTTCTGCAGCATGTTGTCTGAATGTGAACTTTTTAGTAATTCATTGTCCGTTTTCAAAAACCGCCAGCAGCATTTTTTCATGAATGATAACTGTGGGAGGTGGGAGTCTAACAAATCTTCAAACAAGGTTTGAGATGTTTGCTTGTAGCAAAAAATATTGAATTTGAGAACGTAACTCCGGAGCAATACTCTCTTCTTACAGCCTCTTAGGCAATCCTTTCCAGTCTTGTTTGCTCTCTAAGCTAAATTTCTTCAGACGTCAGATGCAGATGGAAAAAAGAAAAAGTCCTGTCGGTTGTTGTAATTGCTGATTTCATGAACCGCGGCTTCACGACAAGGCACAGAAGCAGGTATTCACAAAATCTGAATTAAGTGAATGAAAATACCTCTAGGTGTCTGAGGAACAGCAGCAGCACTGGATGACAATCTGCTATTAAACCAAGCACATCTAATGACCTTTTCACCAATAGCTGTGTCTGTGCATGTGTGTGTCTGTGCATGTGTGTGTGTGCGCGCGCATGTGTGGGTGGAGAAGCAGGTAGTCTCAGGCTGCTAATGAAGACAGGGATATACACGACAACTACCAATTAAAGTTGTCAGAGCCACAGTGTTCCCGGGGTTTGACAGTCTCCTCACACAGCCGCTGATTTTCCTTTACATGCCTTGCAGTGCAATTAGAGCCCAGTGGGTGTGGTCGCCGCGAAATTACCTCACGTGCCATTGTCTTTTCTCTCCGTTATGGATTTATAGCTGGCATCGTGTGTGCGTGAATGCTGCAGCAGGAAGAGAGAGCTCCACAGCCACCAATTAAGCACACGCCCGGGTTCACATTAATGCCAGGAAGGACACAAACGTGCAAGATAAAGCAG